CTTCTTATCTTAGTGTTTCTCTGCCACCCTATTTTCCTTCTGCCAACCTGCTTATCCATCAATCTCTCTCTTTGCTTTCTTATCTATCGGGATTCCTTTCAGCATTAAAATAATCGGAGGGGACATCACTTTGCCACCTAATATAACCTCTCACGTAATAGTCAAAAACATTTTTATAATTTTTTTTTGCTAAAAAACGAAAGTTCAGCGTGGCTCCATGTATTAATGTCCCTCATGGAGAACATGGACTATGGTGACTGCAAAAAGTAGACGTAATTTTTAGCCATTCTGTTAGGAATCCTTACAAAACACTGCTCTGTGGACCTTCTTCCCTATTCGTGTCGTCAAAATTTGACCTGTTTCAAAAGTTGGAACTTAAGATCTGCCGGCAATACCCGATATTCAGGTACACATTCGAAGAACAGCGTGTTGGGGAAAATTATCCCGCGTAACGAGGCTTTTGAGCAGCTTAAAGCCAAATCACTAATCTTTTTTGATGTAGTCTGGTAGACAGTAATTTTTATAAGACTTCTTTGGTTGAAGTGTTTGACTACGTTATTGCACATGGTTTGATATTTGCACTTCCTCCAATAAATTAAGAATAACTTTAATGCTTACAATATCATCTTCCCTGATATAATTTCACAAAATGCGACTTTGAAGTAGACTACTTCACTCCATCAAACAACACAAATTACAGTTGCCTTTTTTGTTTTTGAAATGTTAGTTCGGTCATGCCTTCAATATTTAGCAGCATCCTGGTCACTACACTGAGTTAGAGTTAATTTTTAATACCTTTACTTTACTTTGTGCGTATCTCTAATTCAATATAACAGTATAATAAGACTTTAAGCCCACGCATATCTGATTTTGTTTCTTTTCTTTTAGGTGTTTCTTTAATCACTTTGCAAATTACAAGGCCCTTTGTTACCCTCTAAAAATTAGTTTATGATGAAATACAAAATGTGTAATGTTTGTTTGCTAGCGGTGGTTTAAGGTGGATTGTTAAGTTGTTCGAATGAATTGCAGTACAATTTACTAGTCGCGAAGCGTTCGTCAGACGAATATAAAATGGAGAAGCTGCCTTGTTTACCAGGCTATAACCTTATGAATCTAACAGTTTGTTTGTTTTTTTTTGGTTAATTTGTTAAGAAAACACGCTTTCATAGGTCACAGACACTAAATTATAGAAGTGGCTACCGCATTCCTGATCCTTATCCAAGTGTAGGAATTGGTGGTTATCCACTAAAAGTGAACCAACCAACAGAAAGTGATCTGGATGAACTAGTAAACTACCATCCACTTCTTACTAATAGCCGTAACAAAGTGGTCCCGTTGCCGGAATTCACCCCAGATTACGTAGCATTTGATAAGAAGGTCCTGCGTTTCTACGGTTACTTCAAGGAAAGTGTCACCGAATCTGCAGAGGAACACTATCGAGTCCGAAACGTTATGATTTATTACCATCTTGAAGACGATAGCATGCACATTTATGAGCCGATTGAGTTTAATAGCGGACTACCACAAGGTAGCAAAAACTGTATTGGTCTAAAGCGCTTTGTGTTAAAACTTTGCATGATAACGCTGCTCAATGTCTAAAATTCTTCTTATTTGAGCTTGATTTCCCTGAGTAGATTCTTGGACCCCTTGAGCAAGTGATACTTTTGTGTTAGGTCGGATAGTGAATCGACAAAGAATCCCGAAAAACGGTCTCGGTGATTACTACACGTGGAAGGATTTGAATCTTGGCATGAACATCACAATTTATGGTCGAGTGTATCGTATTGCGAACTGTGACACATTCACTCGAGTGAATTTTCGTGTGGACTTTGTTCATATATTTCATTAGTGAATCGATACATTTAATCCTTAAATGATACAAGCATCGTGCTTTCAATTTATAGAAGTGATTTCATTTCACGCTCTAAATAATCTATTTGGCCTATGAATGTGTTTAGAACTTCTTTGAAAGTGAAGGCATTGAATTAAATGAATCAGAGTCTATACCCAAAGACCCATACCTTGAAAACCGAGCAATGTGCGAGAAGGTGCAATCGACCATTGCAAAATCAACCTTTGATACTCGCCGACAGCACTGCGAATTGGACCGGCAAGTTCTACGTTTCTTCGCTGTCTGGGATGGCACAAAAGAACTTTTAGGGGATCTTCGAAAGTTTTCTATTCTAGTTAGTTTAGATTCTTGTCTTTTGTTATAATTCATCGTATTTAATGCGCCTATCCTTTTCAGTATTACTTGAGTGATGACACGATGGAAGTGCGGGAACATCATACTAGGAACAATGGTCGGGATCCCTGTTCTGTGTTAATTCGTCGACATCGTTTTTTCAAAAACCATGATAACATACCTGCAACATTTCCAATTGTTTGTCTGGAAATCTCATGTAAGTGATCCACTTCTTATTATGTAAAATTCCGGTTAGCAATAAAAAGGGCAACCTTTATTATTATGCTTTAGCCAATGAGATTAAAGAATGCTATAGCCCCAAGGACTTACGTATAGGCGAATCTATCGTCATCTATGGCCGTCCTTTCCTTCTTTACGATTGTGACAGTTTTACGAAAGCTTGGTACTATCAGAACTTTGGTCTAACAGATTTTAAACCCATTTCTGTCGGACAAAAGGATCCTGGTATTAGAGAACCCGTAAGTTATGGCTGAGAGGTTGGGGTCGTTTGATTATGCCTTTCTTGCTTTCGGTTTTTTTATTTTAGGAACAGCCATACTGTAACGAATCAGAATTTTTAGGGCATAACCCACATTCTATCAGCGATTCACATTGTACCCGGACGAAGTTTAATTTGGGAAAGCAGGCAGACCATTCTACAAAGGCGCTGCGATATGGAGCCAAACTCGTGAGAATCCTTGTTGATTAAAATTATTTTTTCCTCTGTCGCATTGTTTAAAGATATTTGAATAAGTGTTCTCTATTTCCTTTACTGTACTTTAGGAAACGCCTATTTGTGGTGTGATTCCCCTTTGTCCTAGCTGTTTTTTGGTTGTAGTTATCAAGGCACAAATAAAGTTGCATAAGCTAATTTAGCATTCATGCCAGTTTTATGGGTAAAGCCTTGATTTTTGTAAAACGAGATATTTCACTTTGAAGCCTAACTGTGATCTCCTAAAAGGGTATCAGCAGTTGTAGGCATATTTTAAGATCCACATATTTCCTATTTGACTTTAGGCAAGTGGCTACCCAAACGATAGTCAGCGCAAATTCATTATCAGCTATCGTCTGGTTGATGACACGATTCACATATGGGAAATTCCGGTACGAAATTCCGGTTTTCCTGGTGGCACGTTTCTCAAACCAACGAGGTGCTGTTCGTCTGCCGCTTTGTTTACATCAAGCATTATTTTCAAATAATTGTTTTGCTGACTTTGTCTCTGGAGCCCATACAAATAATTAAAGCAGTCGATTAGGATGGTGTTTGAGTTGCATCAAAATTAGTAAATTCCCGTGGATTTCGAGCTTTTAGTCACCGATAGTCCATAATTTTTAAAATATTTTAAGGATTTCTTTAATTTTTTTTGTTTTAGCCATACAGTATTTGACAGTTTCACCGTATCAGTCATTAATCATTAGCCTTTGTGATTCTTTATACTTTGCTTTTATTTTACGAAATTAATATGTAAAACGTTGTCAATTCTCATTTAAAAATGCTGTAAAAAGCACTTTTTCCGATGTTTGATTCTGTAGTGAAAACAACGTAGGCTATTGTTGGGCAGAGTAGGAGTATTCTTTAGTCGCGTAAGTGACACATGGGTTTTTAAGCTAACTATTGTTTGAATTTTATGGAAGAATTGTCAAGCCCGGAAGTACCGTGGAGAAGCCAGATTATTATGGGCCAAAAGATTTTTTCATTGGCTCCATCATCGACGCGTTTGGTACTCGTTTCCTAATAACCGATGCGGACGAGTACGTGGTTAAGTTCATGGAAGCCCACCAGGATCAGTTTCCGGAGAGTTTGATCGGGAACCTCTCGTCGAAGGTGGTATCTGATATCATCATGAAGAGTACTGTTGAATCCAGGTCCTGCAAGAAGGGCAGTGCAGCGAATCTCCAGCGAAAGTATGATGATTTTTCACTTTTCCCGAACCTACGAAACACCACTCCACTGCATAATTTGAATATGTAAATTCGTAAACTAGGCACTCGGTTTATTAACGGAGCCAAAATCACGGGCTTATTTTATCCCAGTCATGTTGTGCCATCACTGATGTACAAACGCGCAAATCGTCTTACTTTTTTGATGTTACCATATTGTTTAAGTGCCCAATCTTTTATAGCTTCCCCTAAAGGTCATGACTTCCAAATTCAAGCGTTGCATTGGATACTTACTTGTGCCAATGGTATGGAGTGATGTACTCGTTTTCTGTTTCCCTGACTCCTTGTGTATTTTATGGTGCGAGAATGCCACCTACCTTCGGATTCTCGACTTATCACCGATACAGCAGCGTGTGTCTCAAATAAGATATCAATAAAAATTCACTATCTTGGATTAAACTCTTCATTTCTAAAACGATTAAATCGCGATTGTCCCAATCGTTACACCACGCACGTTACAGTAGTTGGACATTGCACGCCAAAGCAAACTTTGATCTGTCAGAAAATGCGTTTTTTTTTTCACTTAGGTTCATTAGAAAGTCATTTACATAACTTACTACATTTGTCTGGATGTTGCATGGCTTTTTTGATAATGCCTTGCTCCGACTTCCAACCTTGGGTACATGCATCCACCTAGGAAGGAAGTTGTCATTTTGAAGGCATTTTAATTTCATATTGGCGCAGAAGTAGCTGAGCGATTTCTTTACAGATGTGTATACTTCACCTCATCCTCAAACAGTTATATGGTCTTTTAAATGATCCCAATCACTACTTTTTATTTGTCCTTAAACAATTTCTCCAGTGTCAAAATGCTTTATGCAGCCTTATTAATTCCCTGTTGTTCCCATTGCGAATTAGTTGCTTCTCAAAATTAAGCTTTACTCAAGAGATCGTGCAATTCGGTGCCTAATCGTACAATGCGTAGCTAACTTTTGCACGGTGTTCCGCCATCAATATTGCAGTCTATTTTTTCTCGAGCGTCCTCCCGTTCGCCTCTCCGTCATACAATTGTACCCCCCTCAGTGCCTATAGGAAACTTGTTTAGGTGTTCCAGTCCTCCGCTACTACCGCCACCATCAATATACAATTTTTCTTTTCTGATATGGGTTGGGTCGATTCAACAATTTTATTTTAAATTTACGCTAGATTCTTGTTTGCCGTTTATGTCGAGTGTATTTACAAGTTTTCTTACCATTTTGTTTCACTTCACGAGTGGTTCTAATACAATGGCAGTTTGTATTATTTCATGTTTAGCTACATAAGTTAAATGAGCTCATTTTTTTTTCTTAAACAACAGCCCAGGTGACATTGACAAGCTGGTTGGTGAATTGGCCGTTCAGTTCAGAAAACTGGCCCTCAGCGCCGAAACACGAATGGACGCGTTCTTCCTGAAATACAATAAGGACAGACTGTGCTTTGTGGATGTTGAGACCCTGAAAGACATTTGCAAAAAATTGCAGCTCCCAGGAGATGAGGACGTTCTCAACCACGTAAGACATACCATTCTCAATCTTGCACGTTTCTAAGTTAAAATGTCGCCGTGATTATTCATGAAATATTGGTCACTCACCTATTAATTATTCGAGGATCTGACAACAATTGCACTCACTCGTACGCATAGTCTTCATAAGAATGGGTGTCTAGTTTCAGAAACTGTCATTGTTGGTCTTCTTAGCAGCTCGAGTTGTCGATAAAGTTTTAGCTAGCTTAATTTAGTATGGAAGAGCATATATTCATAACGTAAAGAAGGGCTGGGGGGCCATTAAGCACGACCTGGGGGTCATGCCCTCAAGTGGAAGTACAGCCTTCAGGGACCCACTTACCTACGGTGTGTAACATACAAACAAAGTGCCAATTCACTACAGCCTTAGCTACTATTCTTTAACGTCAATGCAGCTTTGTTTGGTGCTAATGCTGACCAGACCTCGTAGCTTCTTGCACCATACTCAGACGGCGTAAATCGCTTCAGTACGTGGAATGGTTGTGCATGATATACCTTTTTGCACAAACGCACTCGTCCAGGCAGAACACTACCCTCATTAGCTTACTTCAGTACTAACATAGATCCTTCCCCTCCCACTCACTTGTCTACAGCCATTAAACGAGCAGGGCCTTATCCATGCTGCATCCCGGGTTGAGTAGGTAAAAACAGTGAATTTCAGAGGTGCTTCTGATGTTCTTTATTAAACATCAAAACCAGAATGCTTCCTCCATGATCATCCCCATTTTTGGTTAAGATTTTCTTAAAATGTGGTAAGACCAATTGATGCTTCTTTCATTCAACAATAATCCAATTTCCACCCATTATTACTAACGTTACTATACAGGAATGTATGCATCCCTTTACTACTTTCGTTTCGCATTGTCATGTGCATTATATATTTAACTTGATGCAAATGATTCACACATATCGGTCCTGGGTAGGAATGTTTGGATTTACAAATGACGAAAGTATTTGTTTCATTACAGTCTCACGGGATAGACACTTAAAGATCCATCTCCTGACTAGGTGAGGTCAAGTCTGAAACCATAACCTCCCCAATCGATTATTCTTCCACTGAAATTGTAAGAATGACCTTGACTATCAGTCACTAAGGCCACTTGGTTAGAGGTACTAATACAATATTGCTTAACTCGTTCCGTAGCACTTGACCGTCTCTGTATGACGATGCCTCTAAGGCTTCTCGATGTTGGCTATCTTCTACAGTTTTTGGACAAATATGGTACCAACGGCCGAATGACAATAGACGAGTTTCGAGCCTTCTTCCTCGACAAACCAAAGCCGGAGTGCTCGATGGTTACTTGTGCGAACTCAAAGCCCTGCATTTGAGATGAACGCGAGGGCCAGCCGATGGAATCTCAAGAAGTCGCTTGATTATCAATTGTCGTAAAGTGTTTCCGGCTGAGCCCGTTCCCCTTCCTCCTAAAGCAAAGAAAAAGTAACAAATTCTCGCCTAACTATTTTTTTCCTCTATGCCAATTTCAATCTTTGGTTTGCGTTTAGACGGTAAGACTCGTTTTTTAAGTCACTAACTGTTTCACGTCTGTTGTAATGACTAGCTAAAGTCTGGGCGAAAAATTACGCAGATCCTATTTATCATTTAATCTCAGAATTTGGGATGTCTCAATTACCGTTATTTTCTAAATCACCTACGTATTTAATCAATCCGTGGACTGCTCGTCGTTCGTGTCCTCACTTTCGAAGTGGCATTTCCACACAATCGCAAGAGTGATAAAACCCCTCCTCCACACATTCACAGCTCGCGATTTTATTTTTCAAATCGTGTGACTAAAAATATATTTGTGTCACTTTCAATCGTGCATCCTACCACCTAAAGGTGCACCTTTCATCCAAACAGTAAGCTTAAGACTTTGCTAGCGTAATAAATCGCCGGACAAATTAGGCCCTTTCTGTTGGGAAAGTGTAGCACGAAGCAGTCTGACTGATCTTCATGTATCGGTGTCTCTGGAAGGTTTCGGTCTTTTCGCATCGCATTCTGCACTTACGAACAGTTTTCAGCGGACCAAGCATGTTCTTGGGATGACCCCATCCCTAATACGGATGTCAGACGCGTGACATGGGCTGACACCCCCCGATGATAACGGCTCACCAAGCATCTCATCAACATTTGCTTTTCAAGATTTAAACTTCCCCAGATATGCTCTCTTTCGCCTTGGTACAATTCAGCTGACCATGTACCATGACCAGATTCACAAGTGCAAATATGAAAACCAGGAGTTGACGGCTGGCTACACTGAGATGAAGCGAGATAATGTCAGCAATAAATTCATCGCGCTGAAATTTTACCATGACGGAAAACTGGTGGTCTAAATTAACTTCAAAATTCCCAGGTTACGAACCTGTCAATCAAAATTTACCGCATTTGATTCATCTTTTGAAGTGGAAAATCCACTGTCCACACAAAACCCGAACTCTAAGTTGAGTACACGGTAAAAAGCTCGGAGTTGTAAACACATCTAAATGCGAGTAAAATGTGATTAATTAGCTCTTTGAAGATACAACGAGTGCGAGGGTTAACAAGAGATCTGATGGCTAAGAGACCGATAAGGAATTCTCATGATTAGACTGTGGTTGAAGTTGCGACTTCACAGCAGGTAGGTCAAGTAGCGTGTGAAAGCAATGAGAGGGACCGATGACTTGGTGATCAAGGGGAGGATGTGTGCAAGTGAATAAAAACTAGCGTCAAGGTTACGCGCGCGTACCCACTCACATGTACGATATCACAGGGTATGAGGGAAAAACTTTATACAGACTGGACGAACGAGAAGTAGGGGATGGGTAGGCCAGTGGTTAGGGGAAAGCGTTTAAGCAATTACCACCTCACAGACCGAAGGTGGACGACGGGAAGAGATGGATGATGCATTAGTCCCCTCCTCCCTCCCCACTTCGGGACCCGTACCAGTTATCTCGTGGGGGCCTCGGAACAGAGAAGCTATCGGATCCAATCGACAAAACGACGGTGACGAAGTAGTCTCTTTCAATGAGTTCGCATCGCTCATCCCGCTGGTCAATGGTTCAACAAGTGGGGGCCGGAGCGCAGCACGGCCCAATTCGCTGGTGCTACACTGATCTGGAAGAACAACACTGTCACAGTCATCACCATCATCCTCTTCATCATCATCCTCTTCGTCGTCGTCTTCGTTATCCTCTCCGACATCGTCACAAGAAACAGTATTCAGAAGAACCGTGTTTAATTGCTCAGCAATCTGACTCTGAAAGTAAAATGAGGCAGCTACTGTTTACATTTCAATCAAATAGTAATAAATGAAATCCATTGTTATCGTCATAATAAAGTAAGTCAGTCGACTGCAATAAAAGAAGTTTCGCAAGGCATCATTTACACGTTCAGACTCAAATTAAAGAGGAGTAATTCAGCTCTTCAAAGTGTAAACCATAAACGTATCTTATCGCGAAATGTACTCTGAGAAGTGGACCAAAAGTAACAGTGAGACCACTGATATTTCAAACCTGTTCTTTTCGCAGCGGTGCAGTAGCGTCAAACCATTTTGGCATTAAGGAAACTAACCATAATGAGAGTTATAAGCACGAAACATATCTGAATTGAAGAGCACCCACCATTCGAGGGCTTGACTGAATGAAGCTACCCTCGCCACAAACAGCTTCCACGTTCCCTGTATCGTGAGGAAAGGAGGCGGAGTTGACAGTAAGATTGTCCGAGAGCATCCTCTGGCTTGACTCAACTGTTCCCTCCCCTTCCCCCTCCTCTTCCTCTTCCTCAGTCTCGAAGCCGTTCTGCAGCCTCTGCTGACACTGCAGTTCCTGCACTAGAAGGTGCACATACCGGTCATTCTGACAATCTTGACATCCGCCGTTGGAAGCCGTTGCATTGAGTGCCTCCTCTACACTTCTAGAAGTACCCAATTTTAGGACATGGGATGACGACGGTAAAACTTGACATTCTCCAACATCCTAAAGTAAAAAAGTGTTTCCGTCATTAATGAGGCAGAACTGTTCTCCCCTGAATCAATAGGCAATCTGGACTTAAAAGGGTCATCTGTGCAAGCATAACTTAAATGTGTACAATGCACCCATAGATATTGCCATATAGCAGCTGAACATCATGGAATGACTGTTCAGCACCTTGAAAAAAATACCATATGGTTCTCAATTTTGACCACTCACCACCCGCATTTTGGCGCCAAATTATCAACAGGTCGGTAGTGTTATATCGAGAATTACCAAGTGCTCGCCAATTTTTTAGAAATCGTTTGCATTTAATGTGTATTACAAAGACTGTTAAAGAAGGTTAATTGTTCGACAAAAAATATCTACAAAATCTACACTTTTCAGTCAAACAGTCTCCTGAACTTTAAATACAATTAAGAATACAGTAAAATTACAGCTTAAAAATCTGCAACATCTCTCGGAAAAAACGACGACTCGTTACTGGTGCAGGTAACTTTTGATTACGGAATCACTCAAGTATATCAGACAAAAAAAATAAAAAAAATCCGTACTACCGGTTACATAAGGTTCATATCGGACCAAGTGCTAGTAGTTTACTTCGAATCAGCCAATGAAGCTGCAGCTTACCTCTCCAAAAAACTGTGCAGCACAAGCATCCCTCGATTTGGGAGGGACGGCGACCTCGAGGAGGCGAGACCGTTTAGTGGGAACAGAGGCATTGGTGGCGGTAGCAGCTTCCCGCTCCTCGGACTCTAAACGCATACGCGTGTGGAGGTAGTGGGTGCGCACACGCACGGGATTAAACTCGATGCGGCCCTCGGGGTTGGAACAGTGGCTGGGGCTGAGGCAGGCACAAGGGAATCTGGCTCGATCAACTTGGCACGGAATGCCGTTGAGAGCGCACTCGCAGGTCCGCGGGTCGCACATCCCAGTGGGACAGGTACAGCCACATTTGGAACGGCTCTTCCGGATGGCTTCACATTCGTGCTTCTCCGCAGGGTCAATCTTATGGAGGCCTGTATCATGAAACACCAAGCCAGCAGTGTGCGCACACACAAAAATGCAAACCCTATTTCTCATGACATTGGCGAACGTTCACGTCATGCAAAGAGGATAGTGGGATTTTAAAATTCAAAACGAAAGCTGGGTGCTATGCATGAGATGAGAAACCAATTATACCAATTTAATAATAATGCACTCGCTTTTATCTGGATTTACTGATAATAGTTTGATTACTATGCATCATGTTTGATAATAATAAAACCAACCTTATGGATGCAAGCAATATTTAAGGAAGGAAAAGGCAAGATACAAAATGAAATATACACGAAAATTAAACGACGGAGCCGAACGACCTAACCAATCCTGCAAGCTCATGAGAACTAAGCGCGTAGGTCCGCTCAAATATCCAGGTAACCCATTAGTGGATTTTACACATCAGAAAGCGCTTTGATTCCAGATAAGACTTTATTGGCATGACTGTGTTTATTTTATGACAGTTAACTTGAGATATCCGATCAATAGGCAATAAGAACCTTCAAAAATGGCTAAGATCCAATTTCGTCATAATGCAAAAAAGAACAACCGGAATCCTAGGAGAAATAGGTATTCGAGATGCAAAAAAACTGATTTGCACAAAGTACATCAAGCGCCCAAACGCAGGTTTTTTACGCACACAAATTCATATTCTTTAGGAAAAAATTATCACAGCAAGACAAAATTGTAAAAAATAGGAATATGTAATAAAAGCAAAGAGAAATAAAATGGATTTGTACAGATCAAGCTAGTTTCCGTGGTATTCCCACAGAGGAACACTACCTATCACAAGAAATCAATAAGTAGTTCACGAGTGTGTAAATGTCGCCAATATTAAGAGGCACGAGAAACCATGGCATAGTTTCAGCAAAAAAAGAAACAATTAAGAACTTATTCTCCGCATGTAGTTTTCTGAGCGACATGACGGATGTTCAAAGCGGAAAGATTTAGATAAAAATCATTTACCAGCCTTCCGCAATAGGACACGACGCCGTTTAACGGAGAGAGGTTGCAAAAAATAATACTCTTCCAGACTATCTAAAAAGCTCAAATCATCGTCACTAGGGTTTTCGATGGATCCCACGGGTCGTTTCAAACACCTGCTATCAACGTTTCTTAAAATATTGCTGCATTGTCCAGCCTCATTTTTTCGCGTTAACAATCGCTGCTGGCATTTGACGCGAGATTCAAGCATCCGGAATTGTTGAAAGGATAGAAGAAGTTTACCCTCAAGACAGAACCGCAAAAGGGCCGAATAACGTTGATACTTTCGTCGACTTTGGTGTTCAATAACAGAGACCTGTTCTTTGCTCCAGTGCTCACTCGCCATTCCTAAAGTAGATCCACCCTGACTAGGGACACAGGCAAATCCCTGTAAGCGATCAAAGTGGTAGAGGTCGACTAGACCGAAGGTGACATGCCTCCTTCTCCTTTTCAAATCCCCCAGTAAGGTATGATGCATTACAAGAAAATTAATCTCATCATCCTTCGCCGAACTGCGTGAAGATAAGGGAAGTGGGAAATCATCGGGAATACCACTCCGCAACGAAATTTCCAGTATTTTAGCGGTCTGAAAAGGAATACCAGCGCATATTGGCCTTATCGATTCAATGTCATCGTCAGTCTTGCAAGAGTCATTTGCTGGTGAAACAGAAGATTCAGAGCTATTTGTGGCGATGTGTCCCGAATTCATGGAAGTCATGGGAAAACTATGCTGAAAAACAAAATTGGAACTAGTAAAAAGGACTCTAGGTACGTTTAGAAACAAAAGGAAATGTGTACAATTTGCGAATACGCGGAAGCAAGTTTAACGCATGGTCGACTACTCACCCCCTGAATTAAAAATGCACAGAGGTTTCGATGGTTAAAAGAAAGTTGGTAAAAGTGGGAAAAAGTAACGAGCACCACATAGGGAAGATTCTGGTTTTATATTAAGTGATACAGCTAAGCCCAGTGAGCGAAAAAGTTGACAAAAGACCAAACTAACCAGGAATGATAATGCAAATAGTAGCGAGAGCGCCAAAACAGGGCAACTGTCCCACCCGCCTGCCAATAATATGAGTATACTAACAAGAACAATGGCATCATACGGAGTTATAAAAAATACAAAAACCTATCATGATGTGCGAAATAAAAAATGCACTATTGTTACTTGCATGCTATGGATCCTATAATCACGAAAAGCCTTTTGTCAGGAGCAATATGAAATAAGCAACACTAATAATTAATGTACTAAAAGCATGCATATCTCCCAAAGAAAATCAGTGCGATTTTGTATATTATGCAAGTAGACCTTAAAAACCGCTAAAATAAGTTTTAAAAAACAACCAAAATCAGGGATGGGATAAATTTTTATTAAGATAAACATGTATAATGCTTTAATCTCGTACTGAAACTCCTTTTGTAGCTTCGCTTTTGGGGAAAGCTCCACGCCTATCCAGAAAATCATGAAATTAACTAACGCTCTGATTGGTTTGATATTGGGCAAAACTTCTATGCATGTGTGTGTGCTGAGTCTGTCGGTCTGTTCAGTTGGAGACATGTCTGCGGGAGGCGAAAATCCCAACATGTTTACTGGTTGGCGTTACTACTTCAATACTTATACTATTAGGGGCCGATCAAATGTAAGCCTGTGCTATTTGCAGTGTGTCACTATGGGTTTCGTTAATGCAGTAATTAATTTATGAAACCCGTTCTTTGCCAACTTTTTGGGTAATTGTAGTACTCTCCCCTTGTTATTTCTAGAGTCTACCCCCTTTCCAAATAGTATTGTTAGCTGTGAATAGCATGCTTGTATTAACAGTGTTTCACATAGTTTAAATTATTCTTTATTCAAAATTTTTCTTCTAATGTTATCCTTTTTTCCTCAGGTCGTGTACACGACTTATGCTGCGACCGCCTTGCTAGTATTGGCTCTCAATCGCAGGGTCAAGCGGAATAGGACATTGAGGGAAGCAGCAGAGGGAACGAAGTAGCTGTTTGGACTTCCGCACAGAATTTGAGTTTAAATGGTCCATTATGAAACTAAACATTTTATTAGATGAGTTCTTTAGCGGCAATTTATGCGTTTTGTCTTCAATGTAATGCCGATTTTGGATGTCGATAGTGGCTTACCAGTCGAGCCGCTATCAACAATTATGATATTGCGACTCAAACGCACCACGGTAATGCAAGTCCTGGTCGTTTGCGTCGGCGCAGTGCACCGTTTTTGTCGAAAGGATTAGGTGCATTGTCTTTAGGGTTGGTGGATACGCTTGTTGCGTGACGGAGGAGGCTTATTGCCCTCTTGGTTGTCACCCGTCTCTGTCCGGTGAATGGGTTGGCCGGTGCGGATTGCCTGGTCTTTGGGCTTTGGCATGTCACGGGTGAGATGTTTGGGATCTCGTCGCAAAGGTAGTCGCTGGGGGGGAAAACATAAGTGCTAAGGGTTTGCAATCTTGAGAATTGGATTAACAAACTTCCTGGTTTTTCCAGGACGGGGACCCCTGGATCGGTTGTGGGTCCCTTCGCTTGTGCCTTCTTTAGCGATTATCATTGTACGAGAAAATTCAGTGCTTATGAACGAATTTGCACATAACCTACATTTTATCTCAAAAGTCGAATAAATTTAGTTTTAAAAAAGCGATAAATTTTTCGCTGTAGTTTTGTATTTGTTTTACGCTTCTATTGATGCATAGCGGGAAATTGAGTTCCACCTCGACGTTGTCGTCATGTTTAGGTCCTTCCTTTTTTTCTTGTCATTTGTTTTGGTTGTCACTTGTGCCAGAAGAGGGCCCCAAATAACAGACAAAGTTTTTTTTGATATAACCCTGGGAAATAAAGCGGCAGGTCGAATCGTCATCGGTCTTTTCGGTAATACCGTGCCGAAAACCGTCTCCAACTTTAAGGCTTTTGTTGAGGGATATGAAGTAAGTGAAGACTACACTTCTTCATGTTTTTAGAAAGATGGACAAATATACGGCTTTGCCGATAGCATTTTCCATCGTGTCATCAAGAACTTCATGATTCAAGGAGGTGATTTCACCAACAAAGATGGAACTGGCGGATTCAGTATTTATGGGAACAAGTTTGAAGATGAGAACTTTAAACTTCATCATGAGGGTCCTGGTTGGGTCTCGATGGCTAATTCCGGTATGGTACTGTATTTTATAGATCCTTAGGTCGTGACACCAATGGGAGTCAATTCTTTATAACCCTGGTCAAGACCGCCTGGTTGGACGGGAAACATGTTGTTTTCGGCAAAGTTATTGAAGGGATGGTGGGTATTGTAATGGTTTTCGTAATTTATCTTATTAGGACTTGGTGGAAAAAATCGGTGAAACCGAGACTGACGCGAAGGATCGCCCAGTTGTTGAGGTGAAAATTGCATCGGCTGGAATGTTACCAGTAGATAAACCGTACAACATAGAGCTGTGATGTGGAGGGAAAATTGGACATTTGCCTTGGTTAATTCTTATTTTCTTGGTAGTTTCGCCTGTCCTTTTATTGCTTCCTCAGTGGGATTTTGTACGTAGGTATTATCTCCTGTTTAATGAATCTGGATCGATTGGGATTTTTTTATTTGCGATTATGTTGCGCACCTGGGTAAGTAACTCGGACGAACCACAATCGCGTAACTTGAAATTGGGTTGATAAATCTATCAAACTACTTTTTCACGATCTTTTGTTTTCAGTACCGGCCTTAGGCCTTGGGTGTTACGGTATTTGTGTGATTCTGCACTTTTTAGTCCGTGGTAGTTTGCCTTGATGAAATGTTAATACCTGTGGTGAATGAAGTTCGTTCTTCACCTGTATCCATCGTTTGCATTGTCACGAACTTAGTGTCATTAGTTTACTGCCTTGTTTGGCCGCTTTCGGTTATGTGGGCGCTTAGAGCTTCGTGTATTGCAATTTCATTTCGTGGCACGGCTTTCGTGTGACGCTAAGGCCTCCCAGCTCTTCTGTGTTGGCGATATGTGTTTGCCCCACTTCGCGTCGATAGTGAATCGATGAATGATTCTGGCGAGGTTTACGCCTCCAATGAGCATCCTTCATCTACCACCCAAGGCACCGTTTTACGGCAGGTGGGTAATGGGTAGTTGATGTATTTTGGTAGGTGTTGGGAAGCACAGTTCGACTTGAATTGACAGTGCTTCTTGATGGGAGACAAACGCATTAGTAATTGCACCCTCGATCGCCCACATTAAGTTGGTATCGGGAGAGGTGTCCTCCAGGTGGTCCCCTGTTTCACCTAAATCGCGCAAAACTTATGGTAGCTTTGGTCGGCCTTGAGTCAAAGCTGTTAGGGTATAGCTAATGGTATGGTTGAAATCTGAGGATCGACCCTTACTGCTTGGTAGTTTTAGATGCAGCTGTATTTGTACAGACAAGTTTATGCATTAATGCCAGTCATTTCCCAGGTTTGTTTGCACGTCAGTTGTTTGGTGCCTGTTTCTCATGCGTCGAGTAATGGAAATCATGAAAAATACCACAAAGCAGGACTGTTTTATTTCCGCAATTTTAAAAATGGATGGTTGTGGTGTTGTACCCCCGAATGTGTCCTCAGACATCTTAATGAATGTGTTCGATATCTTATTCTTGAATGTCTTATAATTGGCCCTCAATCCCTCTTAAAGTGCTCATTCAGCCCTACAAGAAATTGACGTGGGCTTTTGATCTTTATCGAAGGGGCGATGTAGGCGCGCCGCTATCCTAAGAACACCACGAACCAATGAGGTGGAGACACGCTTGCAGCGGTCACGGTACACGCGTGTCTCCACTTTTGACATTCTGCACTAGGCGAAATGAGTTTTTATAGTAGAGATTCTCTCAGTTAACAAATTTGTAATGTTTACTATGCTTAGAAATTGCAGAGTCTTCTTTGGTTTTGAGGATGGAATTTGTATTTGCGCAATACACATGCTACGGTATGCAAATTATTCTAACACTGTAATTATGTCTCACTGCTTGGTGACAGAGGTTTGTATTCAAATTTTAAACCAAAAAATTATCAGTACTAGGAATACTTTTACGACGAAAGCTAGTGCATTCAAAGGATACACTGGGACTATTAGGTGAAATCTGAACCTAGGTGCTCAAATTTTACGAACATGGGTGCTGAAACCGGCATCAGTTGTGTAGTGGTACATGAGGAAGATATTTTTGCATTAAGTACACCAACACGCGAGAATCCCTACTTTTGTCAGCACTGGGACAGCATGGCTTTTAATTAATTGCAGTGACCCTAACGGACAACCGGCTTTTCTGTGGAATTGTATTTGACATCTATTTGAACAGGTATTTTCATGCCTCCTAAGCATGATGCTTATAAGCAATACTTAACGGAGCTAAGCAGGTCTATACTAGATAAATCTGGTGAATTTTATCAATGGTGAGGACTTAATGTTTAATGAAATGAGTGTAGCCATGGGAGTGAAAAAAAGAACACGTCTTTGAAAGGGCAATGTCGCCGAGTGCAAGTACAACTGGATGCTACTCAAGTACCTGTCTAGTTTAAAAACGATCGCCTAAACAGCAACTCCAGTAAATTGCAAGTCGTAAAAATATTGACCTAATAAACTTCGTCAAAAGTAAAAGATTACTTAAACTAGTTCCATTGAGCCCGTGCTTTGCACCAGTTCATGCTTCGCAGTTTGTTCTTTATCTCTGCTGAAAATTTATTCGTTTATGCATCTGCCCAACCGCTGCCCATCAGTACAGCTACCTATTCAAATATCTATCTGTTCATCCACTTATCCATATATCTCCAAATTACCGTATCTAACCATCTGTATCTATCCAAGTCACCCTTTCCGTACTATCAAAATATTATCCATCTGCATATGTTTCTATCTAGCTATCAGCCGAACCGCCTGAATAGTAGGCAGTCCAATTACCTATCCACTTGTCTCTATCTCTTAGTCTCTTTACATTGTCCATCTCTCCTATCCCTAATTCTCTACCTGTCTAGCCATCGAATTATCTGACCACATATCCATCTCTCTTCTTTTCGTTGTATTTATCACTTTATTTATTTATTCGACTACACATCTCTCTTTATAGACCTACCCATCTAGTCATCCCTTTATATCATCTATGTCAGTTCTATCTCTCTTACTATTCCTTCCTATAACCATCTATCTATCTATATATCCGTCTCTTTCTTCATTTCTATGTATTACCTTATTTATCCACATACATATCTCCATCTAGCTACCTATCCATTTAGTCCAGTGATCTGTCTACATATGCATCAATCTATCATAAAACATACCTCTGTAGCACGATAGTGGTTTATCCCTCGGAGTTGGTGAGACGCCACTTTTGTACTTGGAATTAGCCCCCTTGTACCTCGCTGGGTGAGCTGGCCTTCGGGGCCATGCCAATAGCCCAGATACCTTCTCTGTGCTGAATATATATTCTGCCCGAGCATTGCGTCTTCTTCAGTCTTCAGGGAAGTCTCGGGACGCTGCACTTCATCAAACTCTTTGTGCTATCTATTGCTCTGTCTATCCATCTTTCCTACTAGCCATGTCTATTTAACTAGCTGTCCGGATTACTTATCCCCCTTAATACACTTAAATAAATCAATTTATTTAGCTGCCTGTGCATTTCGGCCGACCAGTCCATCTCCTTATCGAACAAAATTCGATTCAATAAGTGAGGTGGTGGAGTGGGTATCACAATTCTACGTTAGGCAGCGTCGAATAGGCCAGTCTTTTGCTTTAGGAAAACCATGGCTCTTCCCACAGCAAGACGTTTGACTGTTTTTCTCTACTTTAAATCATCTGTTAGGTGGTGTCAGATAAAAGAGCGGATTCTGTTACTGATGAACGGAGGGTCAATGGCATTAAAATCAAGCCCTACTATTTGCCGAATCTATGTAATCCGTCTGAGCATTGTAACTTCTTTTGCCTTGAACAGCCGCACAAGTGGTGTGCAAATACTCGTATTTTATGTATAAAATCAGGTCATAACTATTGAAATCAACCAAAATATTGCCTAGAGGATTATGTTTTCCTTTTAGAAGTGTTGAGGGGGGATATTATAACGTGATTTACTTATGAATATTTGTCCTAGTGCACAGACGATATGCCGTTAAAATTTTTTGGAATGAACCAAATCTAAAAGGAGCTATAATATTCTCGTAGAATACATATGTTTGACGCATAGTTCGGATGGGAATGCTAGCATGGCATGGAGGCCAGCTCACCTGGCAAATGTACGCTGCGAAGACACAAAAAGTAATCTTCTACCATGATTAAGAGGCAAACAAGTGGCACACCATATTCCTAATCCTGACTTAACGGCAAAATATACTATTAGGTATTATAATTCTGGAATGCACTCGCGCAAGGTTTTATTATTAGTTGTGCACAAGATAAAATAAAAGTATTAAAGTATAAAAGTATAAGCTTTTCAAATGCTATGCATGCATATTTTTGCTACATTGTTTATGGTTGCTTTAACTGTGAATTTTAATCATTAATACACTTTTGTTTATAACAGTAGGGGCTTAGTTGGCGCCATACTTCTTTGCCCTCTGCTATGGTATCGCGCGCTTTTCTCTAACCTTTGTTCCTTTTAGTCCAAAATAAAGGCCAAGAAGACCAGGAAGCTGAGGGGTCACGTTAGTCACGGCATGGGTCGTGTTGGTAAGCACAGGAAGCATCCTGGTGGTCGAGGTAATGCCGGTGGCGAACACCACCATCGCATTAACTTCAACAAATACCACCCGGGTTACTTTGGGAAAATTGGAATGCCTCACTACCATTTGAAGCGTAATCCATATTATTGTCCAACTATAAATTTGGACAAACTGTGGTCCCTTGTTTCTGATGCGACCTACGAAAAGTATAAGAACTCCAAAGATGGGAAAGCTCCTGTTATTGATTGCGTTCGAAAGGTAATTATCACTAAATTTTGTGCATGTACTTTTTAGGGGTACTTTAAAGTTCTGGGTAAGGGTATCCTTCCAAAAGTTCCCGTCATCGTGAAGGCGCGGTTCTTCTCGAGACGTGCAGAGGAGAGGATTAAGGCTGTTGGCGGCGCCTGCATCCTTACTGCGTAAATAAACGTACCATTTGTCGGCCTATATATTCTCGTTTTGGGGGGTCGCACTGGTTGTGTGTATGTGAGTCGAGGTTCTACCTCTTGTCTTATCTTTATTTGTGTGGCGCCCCATCCTTTTAACTTGTGGTCTGTGGCGTCGGTAGTTTTTTGCTTATATCAGTGAAGCAGCCGTAAGGTTTTTTGTTTCGGAGGGTCCGGTGCACCATAGAATTAGGGTCAGTGAGGGTTTGCTCATGGTGAGATGTGAAGACTTCGTAAGATACGATCCTCGAAGCCGGTCGTGGTCGTTGGAACGTGGTGGGCTTGCTGAGCGATAGCTTCGTTCTCGTTTCGTCAAAAGCGCCATAGTTGGGGTCATGCATCCATCAATGCAGTGTCCGCGTCTCAATACTGCCGGATGTGCGTAGCGGATCCGACCAAACCGTTTTACGAAACATCTACGAATGATCGGCGCATACCGTCTGGTCGTGGCTCTTCCTGTTCTCGTAAATTCTAGTGAAGACTACCTGTATTATGCTATGATTTAAGAATTCAGGTGAGCACTACCAGGAATTGTGGACGCATGCGTGTCACTGGTGAAAGAAGCTTGAAGAGAAGGAACCCAAAACTTTGTGGAATCAAACACCTGTGACATCGTAGGCAAGCTTCAGAAGTTGCACAAGGACATTACCTGCCCCGCCTTTTAGGGAAAGGAGAAGGAAAACGCCTTACGTCCCATTCCGCAAAAACCTCATTACGCTATCTATTCAATTGTTTGAATGCTTTATTCAAATTCAACTAGAAGCAGCATATTTGTGACGGCTGACGGTGATGTCGCGGAGTTGGTGGAGCACTTCACATAGGTTTGTTCTGCTTCAGGGTTGCTAAACAGGTCAACGTGTCTACAACGGACTAGTACCGCCTATGGCTAGTTCTAGCACAACTTTCGGCCGAACGCGAAAGGTTTTAAGTTGAGCTATCCTCAGTGCAATGTTGATATTGCAGTACTGAATTTTGAGTCGTTGCAATTTTGCACATGAAACTTCCATTTGGCTTTTGGACGAAATCTTTTTAATTGACTTAAGATCGTTAGCATCTCGAGTTTCTCTTCGAGGATTCACTGTACTTTGCAAGCAGCTATTAACAGTATTGTATCTCGTGATTTCATAAATAATCATAGCATTCTGACATTGTTCCACCAGCAAGGAGACCATTTATGACTATTATTTCCACCCACAATTGAAAATAGCAAAATTAAAATGTGCCTCATGCGAGTTTACTTTGGTGCTTTCCTAGCATCGAAAAAACACCACATTAACGTTGGGCGCATTATTCACTATTAACATTTACTTGTACTTATTCAGGATTGTGAACATTTAAATCCGTTTTCAGCATGAGGGCGTACTGACCGGTTCCAAGTTGAGGCACAATAATTTTTGGCATTGATTCTCAAATCCTCTTTACACATACAGACATTGACAGCACTAGCATCAAGATGGGTCGGTGAGTCGTTGGTTAGTGATTTCCCTATGGAATAGAACGCACTCTAATGGTTGGTGCATTTTCATTATGGTGATTAGATCTTTACGCGAAAAGGAACATGTCTGTCACATGAAGGCTGGACACATGACATTTGAATAAATTGATTTTCCGTGTGTTGAGCGTCTGTTGTAGCGACGTTTTGCGATGGGTGCATTGCATTCAGTAAACAAGCATGGAATGCCTACAAAAATTATTGAATCAAACGTAAAGGAGTCTGGTAAGTTGCTTCGATATGGATAAAACCACATAATTTGTGAAGGTTTAAAATCTTTCGATCAAAAAACCAACAACCACCAAGTGGACTCAAATCCCACAAGAGTACCTAATAACTCTCAAAATAAAACAGACTCTCTGAGAACCGACCCGTCACTAATCGGGTCGCCATTAGATACACCCATTAACTCCAGGAATGTAGGAAAGTACTCCGAAGTGAAGAAACCACAGAGGCCTAGCCGAGATGCTGAGGTGAGGCGCTCTAAATCGACTAATGTTTCGCCCACTGGAACTCACAAAAAGAATGTAAGACCGAGGCAGGAGAACACAATCCAAAGTAGCATTACTACCCATGGTAGAGATCAAAACATGCTAAGTAAATTCATACAGGCCGGTGTTGGCTACGCGTTTATGCGAGATAATGAGACCAATACTATACAACCGATATTTCCCAGCAATACACCAGTAGGTGTCAAAAAGTGCGGTTTGAATCCGTCCATTGCTACTCCGTGCTCGTCATCTGGGCAGGCTTATGGAGACGAAGATAAGGCTCCTGATGATGTTGTTGCACGCAAGAAACAGGTTCATGCAGTGGACGAAAGCGGCTCTGGGACAAGGCTGAGGGCATGCGCAAGAGCTGTCAATATTGTCGCTCTTGATGATGGTGATTCAAAATACCAAAACACCATGTATCCAAAAGGTGACACAAACACCAAGTCCATAAAAGAGCAAAGCTATCCTTCAAAAATACAACGTGATAATCATGTATTCAACCCAAACAGCCAGGAATGTCAAAAAAATTGGATTAGCTTTAATCAAAACGGGGTTAAAAAACAGTCAGCTAATCCTGGCCTTTGTTGTAGGTCTTCGTCTCCGACCCTTAGACGAAAACTTTCGGACCCGAAAAACGATACCACTCTCTATAAAGCAAGCAAGAAACCCATTTACTCTTTAGCAAGTCCCAAAGTCGTTTCTCGTCACAACTTGGTAGCTCAATCGGTAGGGCGAAGGGGTTCGAAAAGCCCGAGACGAACGAAAAATAGGTCACCTCCGACAAGAGCAAAGGCATGTACATTACAGAGCCCACCACAACCAAATAAATTTCGTTTCTTCCTCAAAGAGACCGAGGAGATAAACAATATGCTCAACGATCCCGATGATCGGAGAATAAGAACAATTTGCGAACGATTCCAATGCGACCTAGATATCTACGCTAAAAATCTCATAGGCGGATTCATGCAATACACAGTGGACATTGCGGCCCCGAATGCCTCAAGCCTTCTTGGATGTGTGAAGAACCTCGACTCAGCCCTAGGTTGGCACATAGCTCCACAGCTGAATAGCGGTAACAATCAAAAGTAGACATGAATCAATGTGTTGCACTGTTGACAAGAGATGTACAGTTTAATGAATACACTAAGGTCTTCAAATACGTTTCGCGTCCCGTTTTGTTTCGCAAGGCAACAACGAACCATACTAACTGGGGAAATTAAGGCATGCCGTACAAAGTAATATTTAAGGCGAAGTCCGCGGTTAAGTGTACTATATAAATATTCCCCCAAATTTCCCAAACCTTGAATAACCTTTGTAGGGTGAATGTATTCCATTCAGATTTTGATATACCATTGAAATTGTAGTCATTCGAGGCAAGTTCCACAAGTTTCTATACGTCACTAGCATAGGGCTCCCTGCGTCAAAGATAATCCCATTCAGTAGAAACTTCCACCCCAATAATTTTCCGAATGTAAGTGAGCGCGGAAATCGGCCTAAGCTTCCTTTTCCAAGTAAATATCACGGCGTGGAGGTCTTTCGTACTTACTCTAGTGGGTGATAGAGAAAACAACCAGCAGTAACCTGTTCAACAGTAATCATTTAAGGAATATAGCTAGGCGTGTAGTATCACCGGCTGGACGTCCAGGTTGACAGTGCAGAAATCGGAAGTTAATCTCTTCCGATAAAGAATTCTCCGAAAAAAAGGTCGACTTCAAAAAGTAACGAGATTTCATATACCGACCAACCAAGCGAATAAAGCAGTAAAAGTGAATTAAGGTAATGCCGTAGCCACATTAGCAATACGGAAGGTTTTAACCATTGGGCATATTTACCGAACTGGCCAGTAGGATATCTACTACACTACTACGTGTTCATATTTAAAATGTGAAACAATCAAGGCGACAATGACACCTTGTTGACAAAATCCAGATTACAACAACAAACATGCAAAAATAACCACCTTTTCGGGAATTTTCAGATAACCCCAAGTCTATGATAACCACGATCTATAAAACTATACTTAATCCAAGACATACTATGGAACAATAATTATGAAAACTAACACAATAATTGTTGAAGCTTCCTCAATAACCATTTGACCAAATTTCACAGCAATGAATCTACCACGAGCATTCAGGATAAAGGGTTAATGAAAAACAATTCGGATGGATGATTTTGTAATGGAAAACCTGAACTTGATATCTATCATGAGAAAGTAATAGACGAGGCAACAATAAGTACACAGATTCCATGTCGCACCTGAAAATACACAATAGAAGAGTCTAGTGCAAAGCAGTAACTACCAAAACCACTGTAGGCTGATGTCTAGATCAACGAAAAAGACCAAATTGTTTCTGAACATCATATTCGGCGTGAACGACAGCCAAAATAGGAGAACAAGGTTATAGTCAGGCGCCTCGAATCAAAACACAGGAAACAGCTCAAGGCCCAAACGCGGTCTCACTTCGGTTTCAAAATTAAAAGATCTCAAAGTTTCAAGAGATTCTATTTGAATAGTGTTTAAGTACAGTGGAAAGACAGAAAAAATCAAGAATCCGAGCTCCTTTCAGAGTAGAACTTTTCAACCTAGATCAACGTAAAAAAATGTAAAAAGCCTACCAATTTCCGTACATAATCCCGCTCAGACTTCGCTTTAACAGACTCACTTCTTTCCTGGACACTTTCGGCGGAATAGGGGGGTTTTATGACTGTCTGTTCTAGAACATGTATGTCTGGTTTCACCCAACGGACAGACAGCTGAGCTTCACCCGGTAGCCTAAACTTCGAAGATCAACACTGACAACCCACGTCTTTGACAAGTGCTCAAAAAGATTTCTGACTTCCTTAGGAACGTCTGGCTCAAAAAGCTTCATTCGCTCCTGTTCTTGCCTCTCATTTCGATTAGACCGAGCAGTTACCTAGAACTTGCACTGCTCAGAGGAGTGGTTACCTTTTCTAAGTCCAACTCTGGGTAAGAAAACGAGGCATTCGGTTTGATTATCCTTATTTCTTTAACATTCTCATGTCGATAAAAATAAACATCATACGAATCTTGCCGGCCAGATTTGGCAGGACGCTCTTAATACGCATAAAATATAGGTATCCAGCATTCATTCACTTACGAAACATGAAAAATTTTTGATTGTCATCAGAATATAAGACTTCGCCGTCCAAATTTTCGCCGTCATCCATTGTAAATTCAACATAAACGCCGGGCCTGACGCCTTTCCACATTTTCTACACTGTTGTAAGAGATTTCGGCTATGCCGACAACTCTTAGCCAATAAAAGCGGCCTTACGTGCCTAGACATGTTTGCATATGGATAATGCAAATTATTTCACAAGTAATTGAAAACTTTGTGTTAAGCTTGCACGCATTAGAAAATTTTTGAGAAGCTTTTTGCAACCAAATCAAGTGTTAGTATAACCAACTATTTTTTAATTACAGCAAGAATTTTACTTATAATTGGATATTTTGCTTATTGACGAAAAATCATAGTGCTCCTTTGAAATTTTTTTTGATGGAACAGCTGTGGTATTTAGACAGCGGGCTGCATGTGCAATCGTGCATAGTTATGCTCTTCTTTTACTAGTTAAGCAATATATTTCTCTCCGAAACTTGCGCCTTTGCCCTTGTCTATTACCTCACTTACCACTTTGTCATCCATGTTATCATTATGCTTGCGAAAAATTTCATGAGGCGTTTTCTACCCGCACTTCTTGAAGTTTGCGGTGTTCGTTTTGTCATGGAGTTGAGGGCGTCTACTCCCCCTCCCCTCAGAATATCATACGATTTCAAGGTTTTTTGCTTTATTATATTATATCGTTTTTAGAAAGTCAAATATACCTCGCGTTCTCTTCTCATAGTGGCTGTTCTACTTTGTGTTATTTTGATTACTCTTGGAATTCTCCTATTTCGCCCACCGGATACATATAAGTGCGTAATTTTGCGTTTCTCTTACTTTATAGAAATTTGGAGGAATTCACCAAATTTCCTACGGACTTGCATGACTTGAAACTACTTGGTGCGGCACTCCTGAAATATAGGTGTGTATACTATTGGCGCATTCTGCTGACGATAACGGTAGTGTATATCTTGTATCCTTTACAAAGTTAATTGATTTGTACATTGTGTTTTTCTAATGTCTGTCGTTCAATATTGACCCTCATAGTTCCCTTTGTTTTGCCTTTCTTTCGAAAGTTCCGCTATTTACATGTTGCCGAGGCTTTTCTACTACTTTGTGCAGACTTCTTTCAAATTTTCCTTTGTACATGCATGTCACTTATAGTGTCTGCCATTATTCGACTGTTATGTTATGGTTCTTAACATTGCGTGTAGTCTTCAGTCTTTCATGATTCCTGGTTCCGCATTGTGCAGTTTTCTACTAGGATATCTCTTTCCTATTCCTTTGGCCCTTTTCGTGATAGCTTTCGTAAGTTTTTATTCGCTTCTCACATACATTCGTTAGTGTTCAGCCGTTGGTGCCTCATGTTGCTATGTCATATTCGACTTTATTGGCAGTCGAACTGTATTAAACCTCTTTCCCGAACGTATTGCGGCGTGTCAGCAAATGGTCAGTACCAACTATTCTACCATATGATTGCTTTAGATGAGTCGCTTTAAAAACACAATGTGTTTTACGATATTTCTTTTCCGATTGAGTCCCATTATTCCCAATTGGTTAGTCAACATTAGCTCACCACTACTTGGTGTTCCCTTGGTGGATTTCTTTATGGGAACCTTCATTGGTGAGTTTTTTTTCTGTTTTACTTTTGACTTCAATTTAAACAATATCATTTCTCAAGTGTGCGCCATGTTTCCTCGTCATTGCAAGTTTACCCTAATCTGTGCTAAGAAATCGCTAGACAACCATTTTCCACGTGTCTTTGCCATCTGAGTCGCAAATATGTTCAGACTAAAAGCAGTTAGAAAAGTGCGTTGAAGTAATAGTTGCTAGAGTATTTGTAACTCACTCTGAAGCAAATTTTGAGGACAGTGATGTCTCAGCAACTTTAGAAGAGGTATTATAACGAGTACTATGCAAATTTTTTAATTGTGGTAAGTTCTTTATGCGTTATCTATTTGGATTTTTTTATTTATATCTGTGCTAAGAAAGAAATTAGAATATTGGGTCGCTTACGTCGAATATGGTACTAGTATTACTACTCTGCTTGGATTTAATGCTCATGGTATGAATTTGTTTAGTTTCTTTAGAATGCCGCTGTAGAAGCAGGTGACTTCGCTTCAATAATAAAAATTTGATCGCCAAATATCTTACTTCATGTCGTTAATACATTTTTGTTCTATATTGGCCTACTCTTTGTTTCATTTTTTTACTTAGGTGTCATACCCTTATCACTGTTCTTCGTCAAAGCCGGAACAATGTTACAGGAGTTAACTGATATTGGCGTCACTTCTGTGGCTTCTATATACACCTTGATTCTATTTGCTGTGATTTCTGTAGTGCCGATTCTACTTCAAAATCAGATTAAAAATTTCTTGTCGGGCTAAGTAAGGCCCATTTACCTTATGCGCACGTCCTAAGTGGCATCAGCTGGCCCGTGGTAGGTCTCGTGGCTGATGGGTCCCTTTTCGCAGATTCGAAGTGGCAGCCCCCTTGGGTGTTCTCCTGCTCCAAACTGCAGGTTTGGGGATTTCGGTGGCAGAGTTTGATGAGTGAGGCCGGTGGGCGGGTTTTCGGCCGCTCTTGTAGCCTTGGTGGAGCGCGCCCTCTCTGGGGGGCGCTTCCCACGTTAGAAGGTGCAGAGTGTGGGATGCAGTGGGATTACTTCGCTCAGCAGTGCTGTGTTCCTTTCTTACAGGAAGGAGGTGGGAGGGGGCGGTGTCATTAGGTCGTCTCGTCGATTCATTTCAGGATGCGGGTTAACTACCTTAAGACAGTTTGTTTGGCTATGTTCGTGTCATATGTGGTCGAAATAATGTTCTGTAAATAGGTTTCGTAATCAATGTGACTCAATTTACAACGTGCGCATGCTTTGAAGTTTCATTCATAATTTTGAACTACAAGTAAAGCTAGTTTTACTTCATACCAGAGAAAATTTTTGGACTACGTTAACTTCTTACATCGAATAAACAGGTATTTATTACCACTCTGCTATTTTAAGTACAATATCATGGTGGTTAGTCAAACATGATACGTTAAATTTGACCATTAAGTGCTTGCGCTTTTCAAAACGCTTCTGGTGTGTGCGGATTGTTAATCATGTGGATGCTCTGCATGTTTGGTTCATTTTATGCCTTTTCTTGTATGCTGTAATGACGTGGCCAGTCTTATGCTGTTCTCCGTAGATAGCACGTCAGTAATTCTGTGGGTGCTATATGAAGTTCATTGAAGTCCTTTAAAGATACTATTTTTGCACTTATGATGGAGTTCACTGTTCCTCGACCTTGTGGTTTTGCCATGATTTCTGAAACTGATCGAGTTTTCGACTTATGACTTGTGCGTTAGTCTTAGTTACTTATTTCAGCATCTTTTCAGTGGATTACGGTCATCTTACTGCTTGTATTCTTCTCGTTCTTTACTAGTTGTTACTCACAACTCCTGTTCTTCTTGTTAGAAATTAGGCTAGTCTTTTGCTTTTCGCAACTTGCCTCTTAGTAAGGTTTTTGATGATTTCCTTCTATTTTTAGTCATCTGTAAGGAAATGTCAGATGCGAGGTTCGATTCTGTTGGTGATGAACAGAGGGTCAATAGCATTCAACCCGGAGAGCAATTCATCTTCATTCAGTTCGTGAATACGAATGGAGAAGAAACGGGAACGCCCGTATCCGTGCCATGTAGCAGCTCCGTTTCTGATCTTACTGACATACTCATTGCTTTCCGCGAAAAGGTCAGCATTTTCATGGGCATGCCTCCTAATGCCGCCTCATTATCATTATGACTCACTTTGTTAAAGGAATTGGAAGGACTCGAAGCGTTTACATTTTTTATTGGGGAAACTCAAATTCTGGATGATCTTGGCTCAGGCATCGTCCAGTCTGCTGCAGCCAGGTTGCTTGACAGGGAAGGAATTGGCGATGGTGTAGCCGAGTCAGGCGCTTTGATGGAGTCCATTGTTAAAGTGACTTATCAAGCTCAGGCAGTGTTCTGTGTCAAGCCTGTTACAAGATGTACTAGCACACTTCCCGGTCACAAAGGTGCCGTTTTGGTTGCTCTTTTCTCACCAGATGCTAGGTATGTTTCAATATCGTCTTTTATACTCATTTTATCATAGGAAGTTGGCTTCCCACTCCGTCTTTGCATTAAAATTAGTAGAAAATTGAGTGCATTTCTGAAATTGCTTCACTTGGTAAATTTTACAAAACAATTATGGTGTTTGTTTTTAGCCTTTTGTTTACTTGCGAGGGATATGTTTACCTTTATTACCTCTACTTTCTGTACTACCCAGAAACCTTATCACGTGAGTTGGGTAAAACGAAATGAAATGAATTATCCTTCCGCCTCATTAGCGGTACGATTTCCATCAAAGTTATCGACTGATGATGTTAAACGTTTTCAGAGCTCTAGCTACGGGGTCAGGCGATTGTAGTGTCCGCTTCTGGGACCTCAACACGGAACTTCCCCAAACCCTTGTCGCCAGTGCTCATCAGTCACCGGTATTGTGCCTCTCCTGGTCTCCCGACGGCCTGCGTCTCGCCTCTGGTTGTCAAGGCGGTCTAATTTGTTTGTGGAAGCAAGACGAGACGGGCAACTGGGCTCTAGACTCACCTTCGCCTCTCATCCAACCTGCACTTAATCGAACACCCACCAACTCGAGGGCTCGTTGGATTCGTTCACTTGTGTGGCGACCCTTTCATCTGTTAGCGTGGCTTCATTGAGTTTCACTTAAGATAATGAATTCTACTCCTTTGATATTCTTATTTTCAATTGTTCAGAAATTCTCTTCTAAGATTTTTAATTTCCATCCTTGTCATGCAACATTTGACCAAATCCTGTTTTAAACATTGTAAAGGGACAAGGATTGTCGTCTGTTAGCCGCAGCATATCAGGAGACGTCAATAGTGATCTGGGATACGGTGACTGGAAGACCGCATTGCATCCTCACAGGCCACGAGAAGCCAGTGACGAGTCTTCGCTGGGGCGGAACAGATCTCCTCTATTCGGCCAGTCAGGATCGTACGATCCGTGTGTGGCGCTGCACCGACGGAGCGCTCTGCCGGCGGCTAGACCTGCACGGCCACTGGGTCAACTGCCTGGCGCTTAGCGTCGACTACGTTCTCCGCACTGGGCCCTTCGATCCAGCCGATGCTGTTCTCGTCAAGTCACCCTTCCCCGCCACTGCCGAAGCTATGGATAGAAGTAAACAGGCGTGCCTCTCTTTCTCTACCTCTAGTCTTATTTTTCTTATTTAACACCTGATATTACTTTGTCCTTGTAGGGGAATTAATGCAACATCGAGCAAGGCAGCTATATGAGAAGGTCAAGGTGGTACCTCGCATTAGTTTAACACCGTTTTCATTTCGCCAAAATAATTTCAGATACTATTTATGGGTTCTTGTTCGCATTTTTTTCATTTCTAATGAATTTCGCCTATAGGTAATTACCGTTGATTTTGGCAAGCTCTTTTACGGTGTTAATAAGATGAACTAAGTTCTCACATTTTCGCATCGCTTCACTGATTAACCCGTTAAGAGAGATTGTCTTCATGTGGGTAGATGCTGTGTCGGAGTTGAATGTAATCTGTGTGCATTGATGCTGCATACTCATTCACGACTAATATTAACTTATTTCCTTTCAATGAACTTATTCAGTTGTTTTCACACCGCTGAAATGGCTTTTTTAATCAATTGTTGTTTGGCTCTTCGAACAGGGGAAGGGACCTGAGCGTTTGGTGGCGGGTTCCGATGATAACACACTGACCTTGTGGACTCCCGAAATTTCAAAACACTCGATCTGTCCGCGAATGACCGGACATCAGGGAGTGGTCAATGACGTTAAGTTCTCGCCAGACTCTCGACTCATCGCCAGTGCCAGTTTTGATCATTCTGTCAAGATTTGGGATGGGTCCACTGGACAGTAAGTCTGGGACCCTAATGCTAATCCGCTGTCTTACTACTACGTCCCTGCGAATTTGTGTTTATTCAAACTGCGTTTTTGAACCACAAAGGTTTCTGGCGACTATGTTCGGCCACGTTCAGGATGTATACTTGGTAGCGTGGTCAAGTGACTCGCGTCTTCTGGTGTCCTGTTCACGAGATTCTACGCTGAAGTTGTGGAGTGTGACTGAGGTCCGCCGTTGGAGACAGGAAGTGGCTGTGCAGAAGAGTCAAGAGGGGCATAGAAAGAAGAAAAAAGATGGTGATAGTTATGATAAAAAGCCACCCCACCAGAGGCGACGCCACATTCTTCACGATCTTCCCGGTCACGCAGACGCCGTCTACGCGCTTGATTGGAGCCCTGACGGGCAGAAAGTCGTGTCCGGTGGAAAAGACCGTGTAATTAAGATGTGAGTTTGCATCTACTCACCGCTACCCACATTTATTCATTAAGCATACGTATCACAAGGAGTTTGTTGAAGGAGAGCTTGGTTTTATTGCCAGGGTTTCGTAATTTGGGCGTTATGGTTAAGTGTTGCCCTGTTTTCATTTGTGATAGTCATTTGAGTATTGCATTTTCAACTCGATCAACTTTAGGCTCTTGGTACTTTTTTGTCATTGTTCACTTTTCATATGCACTATATTGACAATCAATGAGTTTCTTCAGTTTTATTTTGTCATAATGCAAGTGTGTTATTTGACTGTAGATTGGACCCTTGTAATTACCATAATGAAAATAAAGTGCTGCTCCAGCTTTTAATTCCAGCAGTGCGTTGCTATAATCTACTTAAACAGCCGTAAGCTTTTACATTTCCTTCTGTTTCAGGTGGCGTTCGTGAGACCATTGCTTAACGTGCGGCAGTTTTCTGTACAGAAGCTTATTTGTTGCTTGGACGTATTAAACATATTTCTCCACGAAGTAACCGTCAACCTTCTCTCTATTCTGGCCTCATGACATTAGTAAATACTAGAATACTCACCAATATTGTAGCTGTAATACATGTATGCTGTCATAGTTGGCATCGTTACCACATTCATCTGACACCGTTGTGAGTGTACTTTCAAAATGAAATATCGGTTTTTCATCTCTTTAATCTGCTAATTGCAGTATGCTTTTGCTCTGTGAGCAACAGTTATCACTAGCTTAGTCGCACTTTCAAGGCTGTGTTTCAGTGTGTACACATTCGGAGGAGGTCTATGCCATAGCATACATTTTTGTAAATAGGAGCCTAGGCGAGAGGTGGTATGAGGCTCAATAAGGGTGACAAGACTAAGTAGGGATGGTACGAGGAGTGCTAGTTCTATGAAATACATGGGGACGGCGACGCGGTCTCGTGAGGATGCTGTGGCGTGTTGTCGATGATTAGCGGCCAGGGAATTCCATGTCAGAGCAGTTTAACAGAACGGAGCTGCTTCGGAAATGCGAAGGCGGTCTTGAGGTATCCATCCTAATTTCTTCTGCTGGGTGATAGATCTTAGCGTAGCAACATGAGTGCAAGTTCTACGGATAGGAGGAATGGTGACGACCCATAACAGGATGGTAGAAAATAACGTCTACCTTTGGCAACCAGCCCAGTCTCGTGGTCTGCAGGAAAACCTTTAACTACGGAAGTAACTGGTCATGAACCATCTGGAAAAGTTTTGTTGCGACGATATCAATTGTGCAGACTCACGATACCTTCTCTACTTCTCCACTGGCTGAATAGAACTCAAACAGATTTATATAGCTAGATGTCTCTGAAGTGATGACAAAATGGCAAGGTGGAGTAAAAGCGGAATCATGTCAAGTTCTGCCCTTTGGAACAGTGATCCTGCGACTAGCTATAAAAATGCATGATGGTCTGCACATTCTTCTTCTCCAAGTCCAGTTCCCGTACAGAAACATTTTTTAGATCCAGTGTTGTTGCCAATAAGGGTCAGTGATGTAGCGGTCAAGTAAATCCTCAGTTGCATGGAAATTTGGTGGCTGGGATTTTTCCTTAGGTTATGATGGCTGACGCGTAAGGTAGGCCAGGGGCAGTGTCAGGGATGACACTCGAAAGAAGAGGGGCTATGTAAAGAGATGGTTTTTTGTTTAGCTCTCCGTTTTGGGAAAGGTTGCGAATAAGTGGTCCGGCACTGTACATCAACAGGCTGAGCTAGAATCTAAGTCATGTCAGCAGACCCAAATTCAAATTGTGCATTTTTCAAGAGTATTATCTCCTTTCCCATTGGGACCTGTGTTCGCTGATAAAGGATATTTTTAGGGGGTTTGGTTTAGGTGCGTTTCGGCGTTGCCGAAAGACGACTGATACTCAATTATTAGCAAAACGTCTAGTTTCATATTAATTTTAGCAACGAGGCTATCGAAGTGTTTGCAAATATGAATCGCAATTTTTGTTTTCCTGAAAATATCGGGGAAATTGTGAATATCTAAATAAACCGACAAGAATAATTCAAGTTTTTTGACTATATTTTGTAGCAATTTTTATGGTTTTAAGCTTTTTACTCTTAGGCAGAAATATCTTGTTATATGCCTTCAAATGAATTTTGCTTTTAAAACCGCCTAACTTGAATGGCCTGTACTGGGCTTAGTTGTCTGGTTTTACGTCGTTGGATCGTGTTTGATTAGTCCCAAGTTTCCCGTTGGTTTGTGGTTTGTCTCCTAGCACTATGAAATTTCAATTTTTCTGAAATGTCGAAGCTTGTTATAAGCTTTTCCGTCTTCGTCATTTCGGAACCCCCATCTGTTTACGCGACATAATCCTATCAATTTCTCAGCTGTTCACGGATTCAATAGCAGTTTTTTGTCCTTACACTTCAGTGTCTGTACTAAAATGAGCCAGTCTAAACATAGTTCGCATGACTCTTTATCACCTGAAGAGTGCGACAGGTTGGTGCTTTCGCCTCCCCCGGCTGCTTTCAATCCGGAGAAACTCAAAGAGTTTCTTTCTGTTAATCGTACTACTTCTGCAAAAGTCAGCCTTCACTCGGTCAACACGGCAGAAGGCACTCCACCTCCACCCAGACACGCTAGTGTTGCCTGGTCCCGAAGTGAATTTGATTCCAAATTTAAGCAATGTAAGTATTTCACAACTTATCTTTGGCTTTCAATTTTTCGTTAAAATATAGGTTTATGTTGATAACCGTGTATTTGTTATTAACTGTATGGAAAATTCGGTGTTGCTTGTTTTTTATTTGTTAAGGTTATGCTTGATTTGGCCTTCTGTAGTATATTATGTTGGCTCCTCTTACCTATATTTAGTTGCATTAGTAAAAATGGTATCATCAGCATACCCTTCTGGAGTCCTTCAATATTGTTGCTCTTGTTGATTTGTCAAGAGTGGTGGTGCTAGATTAACTCCTAGATCACTTAGCAGATAATTTTACTAATGGGTTTGATCGAAATGAATTTGTAATGATGAGTTCTCTTTTTCAGTAATTTTGAATTGTTTATAATGACATTTATTCTGGTATGTGCCGAGTTTGGGATGTTGTACTGCCGTCAAAACTGACTTTTTATCCATTAGGTCTATTTAAAAGCAGATTTCTTTTCGAGATCCTAAAGTGATCAGTTTTATCGTTAATTATCATGAACATTTCACATCCTCTTCATTTTTTGTGCAATCTACTCTGAGTCGTACGTCTCTGTCCTTTTTTGAATTCGTACCGCAAAGTAAACAAACTTATTATGCTCAGCACAGTCGAGGTGTTTCACCTCAATAGTAAATTCCCACGAAAGATTCCGAGTTTTAATCAATCTTTTGGTAAGGCATTTTCTTTTTCCTTAATTTATTACGGTATATTTCGTGTTCGATTGTTGCGCCATCAAGCACGCAAGCGGTGGTGTTTTACATCCAACAGCTTACACAAGGTTGAATTTGAATTGTCACATGATTTAAGAAATGGGGATGGTGCATTTCAACTGGGTTGTTTTTTCCCTTCTTTTTATCAGACGAATCAGAGATGAAATCAGCGGCTACTTCAGAAGCCCTTCAGAAAGTTCACTTGAGAAGAATCTCACTCGATCCCTCAAAGGACTCCGAACAAGTAACTGCTTCAACATCTCCCATCTCAATTTGCACTGAACAGTCGAGTGGTGTACTGTCGACCCCACAGAAAGCAAGTCGACCACCCGCTCGAGGTGGCGTTGACGGTTGGAGGCGCTTCCTCTGTTGCGTCCCCTCTCGTGCCAAGCTACTTGAACATCCGGAGCGTTTGGCTCTTCGACCCATTTTGCGGCGTGACGAGTCCACCCACCCAAATCCCGAAGTTTTCCCCGAATTTACCACTACGAAAATTACTAAATCCCCCAACTGGTCTGGCCTATTTAAAAGGCAAAAGAACCTCAGCACTGGATCCACTACAGTAACAGCTAAGCTGCGCTCAGTACAAAAGTTGCCCCAGCTGGCAGACGAGCGTCTTAAGTCACCTGCGCCCACGCTCCTCGTCACTCGACACGAGGCCTCCGTCTCCGTGCCATCCGAAGCCGACCACGCTCATGGCGACGAAAATGGTGTGGCAGGATACCACGTGAACCTTGGCGACCGTATGTCCGAATCGGTCCACTCGCAGGATAGTGTTCGTAGTGAAGACTCGGACCTGGAACCGGTTGACCAGGTAAATTATTGCTCATTTTACAATTATGTTTTCGTCTCTTCACTTTTCGTGCTTTCAACTATCCCTAACTGAGAGCTAGAACTTTATCTAGTCTCCGCACTTATCTGTATGTGAACGAACCAGATATTGGACTGTGGTGCAAACGCTCAATTGGTAAATGGCATTGACGTCACTGGCAAGAGCAAATCTTAGAAACTGATCTAAGACGCCTCTATGACTGATGTTTTGACTTTACAGTTCCGTGCTTGCCACTTCTCCTGTGCTCCTAATTTTTGTCACCTGTGTGCTTGAGGCGTTGTTAGTACTGCCCTTTTTAAAGTAACCACGTAAGCATTTTTTTACAATTTTATACTATCAAACTCTGATTTGTGAACGTGATCTCAGTTTTGTTAGATTCATTGAATAGACACGATCATATATGCGTGCATGTGTAGGTGCATGTAAAGGCGAATCTCCATCCCCCCCCCCCCTCCTCCTCTTCCCATTTCAGCCTTTATATCATCCGGTCTATGTTGGTGGCATGCGGGAACTGACTAGGTCCTTCTACAACAGCTGTCATTTCGAATCACGATTTGAATGTTTTGACTACTGTCAAGTCTATTTTAACGGAACGTATAAGAAAAGGTAAGGGTAGGCGAATTGAGAGGATCCCTGAACTTATTTAATTGTTGCGCACTGTGAAGTTTGGTCGATGGTACCTTGTAGTTTTTTTATCTCTTCCTTGTACGGCAAGTCAGTTCTTTGGCTCAAACACCACTTTTACTAGCCACTGGGTATTTCATACACCTCTCCCCAAACATTCTCATTCTACTAAATGCATGATCGTAGTTTTAACTTCTAAACCACGTTTGCGATTTTCATATTTTTTTATGCATCAAACTCAAATTATATGTTTTTGTGTTTGTCATGTTCCTAATCTATTTTTGATTGAGTGTAGGAAAAGTGCATGTGCAGAAAGGGCCTTGCCAAGTGTGCATTTCGGCACCTTAATTCAAAATGGCGTAATCACGTGTTGAGGTTTCGTCAGGTCAGGTCTATCTACTGGTCGCGCTACACCTGGTTGAATGACTCACTACCCTTACACCTCTCCCATCCTCTCTTCTCCCTCCACTTCCTCTTGCTACCACCACTGTCGTACACCATGCGGTCACGGTTGCCCATCTGGGCATTCGTGCGCTAGTGATCCAACTTTGAGGCGGTATTCTTCATCCTTTTTCCGTTTGATTTCACACGTTCCTACATTAACACGTTTACTGAACTAAGAATACGCACGCTCTCTTCATTAATTTTATTCTTAGGTCTGTCTTTGGTTTATGCTTAATATAGCACCACACCTCTATCGATGGGAAATTGTTATTTTTTGCTATAAGCGCTTGAAACAATAGGATAACGATATGGTTAGTTTTGTGTGATTCGGCTGTTATACATGAAGCCTCTCCTTTCCATTGTCTCTTTCGTTAAGTCCATTTTCATTGGTTCAGTGTGGTTAGCGACATCCATGCGTCCATTTTCTTAGTTTTTTTTTAGTTTGATACTTGGATTCGCTTTCAATGGTCTGATGCGCTGTTTGGTTAGTTAACTGGCCATTTAGTCGTAGGCGTACTTTACTTAACCGTGTTCTTTTTTGGACGCAGGGGCAGGAGCGTCGCACGCCCAGTCAGGCTGTCTCGTTTTTCTCACCGAACCACTTGTATTCAAGGCATCTGTTTTCCTCTCCAGTGTCACACGCTTTCCTTCTTCTTCCAGTAACTTGCTGCTTATTTAAACTACACTCCTAGCTAACATTTACCTCCTTGTTCCCTTTTCGAGTTACTCCCTTTCATTTACCTATTCCTCAAAATACTTTGCATCTAATTCTGAGCTATTAGTAATTCGCCTCTTTAGTTTGGTTCACAATGAGCTCTTGGACTATGGGGATCAGCATCGGGTTCTCCACCTTGTATGCGTAAGTGTAGAAAACATACAGGTTAATATTCTTATGGGCTTTTCCTAGCCATCACCGTAGAATGTCTTGTAATTTGCATATTCATTCACTAACGCATTTTTTCATCCAGCATTCATTAATTTGCGATCCATTTTCGACAAAAACATGATTCAGCTCATATTACTAAGGGTAGTGAAACATTTTTCGTCTAAAGGGCATTAGCACCAGTTTATCTGCTTGATTCTTGTCATTCTGTTGCATAATTTCTTAAGCTTTCTAGGAGCTAAGTTTTATCCGAACCTGCTTTTTAATACTTGTATCCATTTTCCTTGTTAAGAATTCTGGCTCGCGTTTGTACTAACGTTTCCTTCGGAAGCGTTTGCGCAATATCGCAATGAAGAGGATTCTTTTTGCCTTATTGGGACGACGTAAGTTGGGATTTGACCGACAATCGAAATATAGGAGACCGGGTCGTAATTCAGGCGTCAACTCTTCGTTAGTTTAGGCAAGGTTGTGATTGTGGAACTTCATCGCACCTATCCTACCCCTTTTAAATCATATTTTGTTTAGCAGTCATTTTGCCATAAGGAGGTAAAGTTTTCAAATTTTTAGCCAGCTCTGATGAACTTTTGAATGTACACGTACATTGCGACATCTACACAAAATGTGTACTTTTGGCACATTGGGACAAACACGTCCTAGGTGGGGGAGACGTTGTTAACTGTACTAATTATCCAGTCCTTATCCCTACCATGACCGCAGACCAGTCAGTTGCGCCAATTTGCGTGATGGTGGCCAAACCCTTGCTTCATACTGATAACGGTAGTACTAAAATACCGTTTCTTCTGGGTTATCTTTCTTGGATATTGGAAAAATATGGGAGTCAGATTCATTACAGCCTTTTGCAGGATGCTTCAAATGTCCCCTATAAGTCGAATCCTAGCAACTGAATGAAAAAATTATTTTAACTTCTCGAGTTCCAGATGTGTTTCTATCTCTAGTTATGTAACTAAAGTATAAAACCGTAAGTGTCATTTTTTACTACACCTCTGCCAGTTTCGTTGCGATTTTCCTCTTTTCAGTCAAGACGGACTGAGTGCTTTACATACGCCCATTGGTATTTGCCTGGATGTGCCTGAGTGTTTCTGCAGATGTCGTAACGACTCCCCTTCCCTCTGAAAATGCTCACTGAAATGCTATGGGAGTAAAAGAGGTCCCCGCATCGTAAAGGCTACGTGGCGGAATCATGTGTCTGTGTCGACTGATAATTACACGGCGCGCTATATAATTATTTAGTTAATTAATTAAATCCGTGTCTTTTACAAATAGTTGCCAAACACTTGTATTTATTTCTTAGAGCTGATTTCGGGAGTGTTTTGCATTAATCTTGGAAACCTAAATGAAAATTTATCTTTTTCTAACTTATGCCCATTACTGGTTTACTTATGGGGACTTGTGGTACTTTTTTTCCGTGGACGTTCCAGTCATGCAAGGCATCATTTACAAATGTCTTTTGGTAAAAAGCATAGTATCTTAAACTTGTGCTTAAACAATATTAACCGAGTGGTGATAATTTTCGTGTCGCTTCAGCCCTAAAATTCATACTTCATACAACTTGGACCTTATACTTTAAGGTAATAAATGTTGTCTTAACTTTTTATTCCTTATTTTACTTTGTTTGTTGAAGTGTAAAGTTGGTAAATCGACTGCGCAGAAAGCCCATAACCTTCTTAAGTTCATTACATTCATTTCATTCGAAGTTTATACACCCTTCCACGGAAAAAAAACGTATCCCATATAGTAGCAGTATTGCGGCAACGTTAGTTTTGAAAACCAAGCTGCTTTATTTTTACTGGCTAGAAAACCAATGGCACAATTTTGATCATTTAACGCTGGATACTTCTATTTGCCTTGAAGTGCGCATTTGTGACAATTCCTACAATCACTTTAAAGTTGTTGATGAATAGTCTACTCGTTATGGGGAACTCCGCCTTGGAAAGCCTTAATGCTGTAATCTTTTTGTTGAAATGCATAATGGAATGCGAACAACTGCACGTTTGAGTGAGCCAGTCATTTGTTGATAGGATTCCGTGCCCTCTCTCCGTGTGCTACAGCCTTGGCAACTACCTGATCGATGGACGCATGTGCGCGTTCGTGGTGTTTGAGATGCATTCTGATCATGCGATTGGTCGACTTGAGTTTGTGCGCCTGCACACTTGTTTGCAACAACCAATTGCATCTTGCCATGCTCGGCATGCTTGCTGGGTGTCACGCCCTCACAAATCTGGAGGGACTAGTTTCATGCGAAAACTACAGGAAAAGAAGTAATTAGATCTAGCCATAGTATTATCTGTGTAAATACCGCTCTAGTTGTTCATGGAAATTGAAAATTTGGGAATCAAGTAGATGCAATTGTTCGAAGGCATTTCACCCGTAATCCGCTTTCCTTTCGTGATTAGTGGTTTTTAACCTAGTCGTCTTGTAGCATAGGAAAACAACCGTTTTTTGAACCCTCACGTTGCTTAACGGACTTTCCGTTCGTTTCTAACTCCTTTAAGCAAAATGCAATTAATTCTTGAGGACCCGAAGGCTTGATCTTTTGGAACTTATCCATCTAAAAATAACTTGCTGTTTCTAATCCTGCCTTACAGCAAGTGTATGACGCAATGTTTCCTAAAACTAATGCGCGTACCACTGTCTAAAGAATCCGTTTAAGCAGTCCTAGGAAAGACAATTTTAGTTTACATTTGTATATTTGACGTTCTTGTCAAGCGCTTAAGTATTAAACTGGTGCAAACGAAAAGAAACAAATTTTCAACGGTAAGCCTTTACTGTGTTCCGTAAGAAGTGCCCGATGGAGATGAATCCCTTTTTAGGTGAATCCTGGTCAAAATTTGCTAGGCCAGCCTTCGCCTGACTGCATAGGAAAGAAGTGCCTTGTTCTTGATCTTGACGAGACACTGGTACACAGCTCTTTCAAGGTGAGTCCTGGTTCTTTTCGTCGGAATTGTCTTAGAAGCAGATTTTTCTTCCCGTACTATTTAATGACCGCCTTATGCATTGTGATCTTTAGATAGAAACCGACCTTTATTCTAGTAAAGAACAAAGAACTTATTTTCTGATTAGACTATGCTAGGAACAACATGGGGCCTGGTAATGAGTTTGGGACGTCAGTGAGGAGCTGTCTGTTGTTTTGGTGGGTTATCTCCACCACCACTAGACTTGTGTGAGCAGTCCATGTTCATTGTGCAATTCCGGTGACATTTGAATGTTCATGCACTTCAGACTCAGTTGATGGATTTGTTTCACTTGAGACCCTTTTTACCACGTGTCTCTGAGTCATTCTACCAGCTTTTGCGCTATTCACTTGCACCAAACTGTGCCTCTATTCGTGCACGTTTTAGGCGCTCTATTTCTCCCTTTACCAGTAAACCAAACAAAAAAATTTCTCGATCAAGATATAGCATTTGTTATTTCACTCTGCGCTTATTGCGGTATGCTAATTTCCCTCCTAATAGTGGATAATTTCATTGCTTTTTTCAATGACATAAACAGCATGCTACCTTTCTGCCGACTTGTTCATTAGAGCCGTTGCTTATGCGCAATACCATCGACACGCTGAATGATTTGCTTACCCAAGGTTCCCAAGTCAATCGATGCTTATTGGACTTCTGTTGAGAAGTCGTCCTGCCATCAATGTATTTGTGGTATCGAATGCAAAAGCTAGTAAAGCTAATGGTTCCCGTTTGCTTTTCTTCAAGAATTCCCGTGTACCCTTGCTCGAAAAAGTGAACTTTCCCGTTATGATTTTATCTATATTCGCCATTTCTTAACGAATTATCCTCTCGGATCGTCTGGGTAGACCAAGCTTTTCATGATTGTTTGATCCAATAAAACGTCTTTTGAATAACACTTTTTAGCCCGTGGAAAACGCTGACTTCACCGTGACAGTGGAAGTTGAGAATATTCAACATGAGGTACGTTCAGTGATTTCTGTGCGTTTAGCAAGACTTTCAAAGGTCTCCTTGAAAGCATTTTCACCCAATAATTACCACTAGTACTGTGTGAGGATCTACTACGCTTCCATATCCTTGCCATTCACATTGATGCAACTACATCGAATGAAATTTGCTCCTGCACGAGGATGCACGCAGTTAAGAGCCCTACTCAGTTGACTCGCCGCTTTCAGCGTATTAGAGAGCTCAAAAGACCTTAATGAAGTAACTTGATTGTGTTTATGTACTTGCTTTATTAACAAAAGAGTTCAATTTGACCGTGTCTATCTGTTTCAACTCGCATTTTCACAACCAAAGGCGCGTGATGATACATGTGCGTACCCAGGCGCTGTGTTCGATTGTTCTTGAATATGGCGCTTGCCAAGCTTTGCCAGTCTGGCTTTCTATCGGCACTCCCCTTTCGTGTGCAATTTAACCTGACAGGCTTAAATATGCATTAGCTCAACGCACACTCATCAATATGAGCTGTGTACTCTCCTGGTGATATTTGGCCTGTTTTATCCTGTATAACTTCTGGATTTGGAAGACTGGCTTGGCCTAATGAAGATCTTTATTGAGACCTTGATTAATGGCAAAGTATTTATCGAATGAATCGGGAAGGCAGGCGTTCTCCTGTAAATCAAATACAATCGCATTAAACAAACTACTAAAAGTAATCGCAACATTACTACACCAAAACGCCAAGTTGATTTTTTTCTAAAAATCAATCCGGTCGGAACGATGTACTTGTAGCGTAAGGTAACTAGTGCAGTATTGAAAGTTTTCCGGCTTTCCGCACGTTTCCGAATGGAAAAAAAGGCAAAATGCTATCAATTATGCGCGATTTAATGAAAATCCCATCTGGTGATTATTGATCAGTTTCAGTTTTTGCTACTCGTGGGCAAAGAAAAACGACTAATGCAAATCCCCAAATCGTCAGGTTCATTTGTCTCTTTAGGTGTCAGTATGCAAGCGGCCACATTTGGAAACTTTCATCGAGACAATTGGTCCCCTGTTTGAGGTGGTTATGTTCACGGCGAGCCTCAGCAAGGTGAGACGCTAAATGCCTTTACATTTTCCACGCAAATAATTGTTTATTGCAACGAATTTACACACGATTCTCACGCGTATTTAGTCACACTTATTGCAGTTGGTGGTGAAGTCGGTAAATGGTAATCCCACATATTTTTCCCTTTCCCTGATGCATAAGACTGTGCTACACAAATTGAGCGAAGACAAAAGCCACTCTTGATTTGTTGAGTGGCCAGGGGATGTTCCTTAGTACATTAAAAGTTTACGCTGATGAGGACTATATACTTCGTTATTTAGTGCTAATTGTAGAACTGCGAGACAGGACGGGGAAAGTTATCTTCTGTTATTTAGGTTTTAAAATTATTCTCCTCCAGTTGTACCACATGAATCATCTCCTATTCAATTATTTCACCAATGAAACAACCAGACTTATCAGAATGTCTTCCTTTGCTCCTCATTTGCTATTCGCCATTGTCCTCCCTCCAACCGCAAAGCAATTTACCAAAGATTTTCCAGCTTCTGTGACTAGCTCTCACAGAATTCGTCGAAGAGCATATCTGTCAGCCTGGAAGCCATTTCATATAATTTGTACCTATGCAATTAGTCAATGTTACTTATACCGAACAGATTCAGCAGCTAGTTTATAGAATCGGATTATTTATTTATCCCGCTTTTTCATGCTTTCAGTATGCGGATCCCGTTTGTGATCGAATTGACCCGTCGGGTCATTTCAAACACCGACTTTTTCGGGAGTCATGCGACTGTTTTAAAAGTAACTACATCAAACGCCTCGACGTTCTCGGTCGGGATATCGAACAAATCTGTATTATAGACAACTCTCCCATCTCCTTCTACTTTCATCGGCAAAATGCGGTAAGTTTTCACCCTTTGGCATCTGCCATTTGCAGGTATTTTGGTACAAGACTTACTGAGTTATCTGATTCGATGTTGCTAGCTGATAGGTTATTAATTTGTAGCGGGTTATTTACTTGGGCGAAATGGGATACTCAGTGCAACTAATTTGTCATTTTAATTATTGAACACACTTTGGTGTTTATTATTTCTAAATACTGTCCTCTCAGCAGATTCGTCAACTATACCGGTTTTGTGTCCTCTGAACTCAGATACGACATGCTCGTCATATTTGGTGGTATTACCGTTTCGAACGTTTGCTTATTTGTGATATTGCAACTTTCGAGTAATAGAAAATAATGGACCCATAATTCACCTATCAGCTCTCCACTACCCATTACAAAACGTGTAGACTGTGTTCACATGTACGCATTCACCCACAGGCGTCTCGCAGATAAAATGCGTGATATGACTGCTGGCGCCATTGTTAATATCTGCGCCGCCTGCACTTAACACAGAGATAGTTAATTCACCTTAACTTTGCCTGTTTACGTCACATCTCCACTACCTGATTAATAATGTGTGTTGAATCTCGAAGTAGAGATATTTCCTCTATTTTTCACAGCTACAAATTATCACATGGTACGATGACCCGCAAGACACAGCATTGCTGGATCTCATTCCCTACCTCAAGGGTCTGGCTGAGGCACCCAGCGTTCTCGAATACGTCTCCCAGTTCGCACCTCCGTCAAGTGCGGTTATTGAGCAGTCCGATCCCTCTCTATCGCTCTTTGGCGTCTCGGGCCTGTGGGGCGGGGGTTGGAGTAGCTACAACTACGACGACGAAGAGGAGGAAGACGCCGAGGTTCTCCATGACGGCTTCCACGGCGCTCAACAACGGTGCCAGGAGGGTGAGGGAGGTCTCTCCTCTCCGCACGATATTATCACCATGGCGCCAAGACCCACCGGCGAGGCCGTCACGGCAACCTAGGCACAAGATATCGCCATCAGTGGGCAATCAAGTCTTCCATTTACACTGGCACCTTCCGACTTGCTCAATTGTAGCATGAGATTGTTTAAAATGTTTTTTTTTCTATCTGTGATGCTGATGATGTACTGTCAGTGAAGGCAATGTTCTACTCACGCAGTCCGTGTACACATCTATAAATATATCTATTTTTACTCGTACACCACCATGCTCAATACTTCCCCTTCTTTTCCTCTCTCCTCCGTTGATTTTTATCTCTCCCCACTTGAAAAATTTTTAGCCTTAAAAGCCTTTATATTCTCGATGTGAGTTTGTCTTTCATTTTTGTTTGTTGGTTAAATTTCGCCTAACCGCGTCTGCACATGTACACAGACACCTACGTGCGCATCTGCAATTTCACATTTCCTCTAAGTACCTTCTCCTCCCTTGAATAACGACTTGTCCCCAATGTATGTGTACATTGTATAATGAATGGTTTGAGGATATATTGCCCTTTAACACGGTCTTCCGTGTATTCCATTACCAATTAATGTTTGGTTGAGTGTATCACTTATCCTTACACCCACCCCCTCTCCAGCCCGTCTCACTTTTCTTCAAAGCTGCAAAGATTAGCAAAAAAAACAAACATAAAGTTTTCTATCTTACCTTTTTGTCATAAAGTGAACTAGCTTGGCAATTGCAACTACATTTAAATCGTACATGAATGAGATTGCTGCTAAAATTGAGCGGAATGAAATGGTATTGTTTGAAATCTCAGTTTTATGATTATTCTATTCATTGGCGCAGCACACATGAATCAGTAAATTTATGCAAGATTAAACTGCAGATCCCCTTCTCAAACTAATTTAAGTTGTGGTGGTACGTTTATTGGATGTCTGCATTTCTATAGACGTGGTGAAGCCCCACTCCTGAAACTCTGAGGAGGTGTCTTTGATCAGGGGGTTTGACGATTGTACAGCTTATGTGTTGGAGCACCATGACAAGTTATACAGACACCGAATCACGGGTAAACAAACTTGTCGTCAAATCGATGTACATGGTTAAGACTCACGCCTTGGTGATTGGCACCAAGATTAGCGCATAAATGACATTGATTAGTGGGCCGTGTGCACGTGACCGCAAATGAATTTAGAAAAGCGACTTGCCAATTAACCTTGACCCCACAGGCTCGTTTTCGTGTCTCTTCACCAATCAATGCTCTCCAAAGCCTCACATTATATACATTGATCAGAGAAATTTCGTACTCTCCATTTACATCACCAGCATGCCTTCGTATCTGCCACGGAGTGGGTGTTCCCTAACTGAACCACAGGATTTCCACTAATTAGCTTCGAATGTCTATTACCTTCCAGAGCAGAGTATAGACAAAGTCATGAAAATTTTAAAAGTAAGAATCTCAATCGCGGATTTGAATAGGTTCACTAAAATCAACAAATTCTTAAGTGATACAATGTAGAGTACATTACGATTACTAATTACTTAGGTTATTGGCAAAGTAATCTGAAGGTGAAAGTAAATGCCTCTGCTGCTTTACTAAAAAAACATTTTTGTGATAACAAGGGGATTACTTAAAGTCGAAAGTCAAATCCGGAGGTTTTGCGTCGATCATTCGTTGTGCGACAGCTCGCGCAATGGCCGTCTCCTGCACCCCCGAAATGCAGCCTGACAATTGGGTCTTGTAGTAGTCAACAATGAACTTCTGACAGCAGCGAACCGTACCGCTTCGATGAATTACGTCGATCACGGCCGGCCGCTCAACTGCTCCTAGGCAGCAACGAAATAATTTATCAATGACTTTGAAAAGCATCGAGATGGAATTTGGTAATCAGAAAATATTAACATCTGATCCGAAAAATTAGGAGAGTACTGTCCTTCTGATCCTTCTCAAAACGCAAACACTGGCATATCTATTAACTCATGATAAAGTATGATCACTGACAGAAATATGAATGAATAAATTCAACCATCCGAATATTTCTGTTATGATATAGATCGTCGCACTTGGTAATATTGCGTTTATTGATAGGCTAAACACGCATGGTTATAATGAGTTTCAGAGGATATGCGGAAACTTGTAAATGGTGATTTGTAAAATATGCTAACACCCGGGTAATAAACCCCGTCAAAGGAGATACCTGGTAAAGGGGAATGAAATGCATTAGGATATGCCGCGAAAAGTATTGAGTTGACATAGTGCACAATTTATCGAATAAAATGACATCACGCAAACTAACCAAAGTAACGATGGCTTGATTTCCTAGACACAGAGATCAGTGAGCAAAAAACATCGCTGACAGTAGGGAATTCTAGTTATCGAGAACTGTGGAGGTGACCCACCGATTTATTTTAACTCGAAACTGATTTACTTGTAAAAGATAACTTAAACCGAAATTACGAAATATCCCGATAAAGTAAAACAACATAAACAAACCAAACACACTGATTTGATAAAAAATCTATCGAGAGCAGTTAATAATTTCCGAGAGCGACCAGTGAAAGTAAAAGATGGTCATGAATGAGGAGAGAAACTGAGGGAAAGCGTTTTTGGGAGTTCACTCACCGTCGTATACTGAGGTAATAAGAGTGAGAGCGGAAGTCAATTGCTCAGCCGGGAGGCCGCGAAGAGCCCTAATGATGAGTAGGCCTGAGGATGGATTCCAGTAGATGATGCGAAATCGCGCCATCAAGCGACCCACCCCGAAGGTACCGTGAACCGTCTGCATGGAACGTCTAATGGCCCGATAAATTATTGCATCACCGCTGGAGGAGGAAGAGGAGTTAACAGATGACGAGGGAGAGGAGAGGGCGAGGCAGCCAGGGTAAGCAGGTCGGTGGGAGACACCCCGCGAGGCACCGCTTGAAACCCCCACTGACACGATCGATATGAGGTAGCGATACTTTACCCGGACCATCGCGGAACTGGAGAGGCAAAATCGAACTTATTTCTTAAGAGGGCACTAACATTTACACTTTGTGATTACTACTAATGCCTTGATATCTCGTGATTTAACAGACCCAATTTGAGTTAAATAGCGATGCTAATTTATTGTTAGAGTTAGAAAATTTGCAGAGGGAGAGTAGCAAGATAATGCCTAAGGAGGATAAGAAAGCCAAAAACGTTCATTACGTAGTGTTCCTGTCTAGTGCATTTTAGCCAAAAAAGGATAGTTTTCGAGAGAAAGGTAAGGGAAACCCATAAAGATATGTCACCCATGAAATCGGACAACGCCCTATACATTGCCGAGACAAAAAAAAAAAAAAAAAAAAAAAACTAAGGGAGGAATGGGCTAGATACTTGTGGAAGAGAACAAGAGCATCGGTCAGTTGAAGGCAAGTGATTAAAAGCAAGGCTAGAAACCGTGACAATAAACCACACTCGGGACAACTGCCATGAAAAAAAGAGTAACACTATTGCAAATGGTAAATAGACAGTGTTTAGAGATGAGTTGCTACTCAATGAAAATAAAAACTAAATCGAGATTACTGTATTTTTGAAAACGTCCGTTTGGAATGTCTTTGCTTTTAGCGCGAAGATAAACAGTCCGTTTACCTGGAGCAGAACGGGAACATCAACAATGTAACACATGATTCCAATAACAAGTGATTCTACAATAGCAGCACTTCGTAAATGTTTTCTGACACAAGGCAGCAAAATTAGAGAAACAGCCTCACAAATGAAACAAAAAACTTCATATCCACAGGCGACATAGCTTGCTTCAAAGGGTCTTTGTGGGCAGATTCATTGCCGCGGCTAACATAAACCGCCATAAACGTCTGAAAGGACATTGCTACCGCGGCTTAAAGCAACACATGCGACACTTAAGTCATTTTGAATCAGAATCACACGGCGCGTGGGCTTAGAGGCTGGAACCGCCTCTGAGCAGTCAGAAAATCTAAACCTTGTGACAGAACAGTGGGAGTTGGCACCAATAAATCAGATGTGTGAAAAGTTGGCAATCCAACTCTAAACGTCTTTGACTGAAAATATTAAATCCTCATTTATTGCGGAGCACATAGTTAATGCGTTATTAAAAATAAAAGTTACCACAGCATTCAACATGGATAACAAGGACAACTATTTCAGGAGTGCACTGAAATGGTAGACCGTATCTGTGAATGACCTTAAGTTAAACTCATAGCTAACCGTTGGAGTCTTCACACAGAGCAAAGAGAATACGAATGGTAATTAACCTACGTCATGAGAATAGTCCTTGGCAGTGGGTTGTCCAGATCAAGCAACATTCAATGACTGCTAATGAAATAGAGTCTAGACAGGCGGAGCACACAAATGCAGCAGAATCAGTTTCACATAGTAGATTTAAAGTTTGGGACGATACATGAAATAATTAGTAGGAATAATGCAAAAATTAAAATAAAAGTGTGATTAGTAGTTGTAGCCATAAAATGGGAACCTTAATACGTCATTTTAGTGCGGACGAACCCACTTACAGATGGGTATTCTGTACAAAAAATGAAAAAGCATCGACGTAACTGTGCATCAACGTAAACGTGAACAGTGAGAATAGGGATATTTTGAAATTCACTGCGTCCAGTTGACTAATGTAAGCAGGAAGTAAATTTGAAAAACCTCAGGTGACCTGTGTTATGACCTCTGATGCGGTGTGTCGTATCAAATATCAACGTCCAATAAAAATACAGGCATAAAAGTAGGAAAAAACAAGAACGACTAGTTTGGATTGATACACTGTAAAGACAGCCAATAATGAAACCAAGGGAAGCGTCTACTCCCACAAAACAAATTCATACGTATAATCAAGCAAGCTAACGAACACACACAGCCACTGAAGAACTTCCCACGACATATAAAATTTTTTAACACATGTGGAAGGATGAGAAGTCATGCATGCGTATACGTGGGTATGCGTGTCTGTGGGGAGGGAAGGGATAGATCACAAACTAAAGGGAAATGTTGATGGATTCGTGCACAGAAAGACCTCGGTGTCTCAACTTGACGAATTAGGTCAGGTTATTAGGAGCCAGATAATAAAGAATATTGCTATTCCAAGGAAGAGCTTCGAGAGAGCTTCAGCTTCAGCCTGATTATTGTTCTGACCATCTCCATTTCCTGCACCACCGCCGCCACCGATATTGAATGTGGTCGCAAAGAGGCCGAAGGGAAATGGGCCGAAACCGAAGGAGACCTGTAAATTTGCTCCACTTCCCTCACCATCGTCCCTGGCATTTCCTCCAAAGATATTACTGAACGCGCTAAAGGGTGAATCCTGCAATCAAGGCACAAACGCTCCCAATTAATATGCTAATAATAAGTGTAAAAAAATATGGGAAAACGCCCTAACCCGCTGGGGTGCAGGCTCTGTTCTCACGCCTTGTGGCCTCGGGGGAACCTTATTACGAGGATCTCGCTTGTGGTCAGCCCCTCTTCCGTATAGAGGGATAACCTAAAGTGTAAGAGTATATAAAATCAAAATTTATTAAACGGAAGTTATTGAAATCTTTGGAAGGTGTCAATCAGGAGGAAAATCGCAAAGGGACCAAAGTGTTCTCGAACAGCTGAAGAGGGAAACTAGTAAAAGCACAGCCCAAGCATCCCCAACACAGCAGTGTCATGAGCCCCAAATATGTGATCAAAATAGGCACCCGAAACTGTGTGAAGCGATTTACGGTGCAACATGAGTGTTTCCTCACCGAATCGCGGCTGACGGCAGCCTTGCAAACAGGACACACAGGTCTGGACTTTTTCACCTCCAGCCACTGATGGAGACAGGGCCAACAGAAGAGGTGACCGCAACGACTTACGACGGCGTCTTGAGCTTGATCCAGACAGATATTGCACTCAAAGTTCCCGTTAGTGTTATCATTTGATGAAGATGACTGCAGTGGAGGTTGAGAACCCGATGGATCCGAGCCATTGGAACCCTCCTGTCTCGTTCTACGCTGTCCTGTAGAGGAATCGCAGGTGGAAGAGGATTTAACACCGGTGCCATCCATTTATAATTGTCTCTGGTTTGTTGGACAAGTATATTCTAAAATAGAATTATGTTTAGCATAACATCATTTGAAGGATACAGTCAATCCGAAGTGTGAAAAAAAGAGATTTGCATCTGTAATACACAGAGAGGATCAACAGCGAGATCAATGATTTTGATAAATCTCAGTTGAAACACATTCCGACACAAGCTCGAGACTGCCCTTATATCATTTTCTACTGAGTTATTTCTTCGTAAAAAAGTAACTCCAGTATTAAAGCATAAATAATCTAGCTGCCAACAGAAGTGAAATATGTGATGCATAATCTAGTGAGTGGTGCAGCTCATAACGAACAGGAAACTACTGTTTTGTCTACAGGGAAATAGAATAAATCAAAACGCCTATGCACGATACGGTAAGAATAACATACACACACAAACGCGTCAAAAGTCAACATTAAAATCTACCAGTTCATTTTATTGAATTCAAAAAGATTACTTTGAAGAAACGACTAGCAAATGCCAGAAAAAGCAGACGCGTATTTTGTATTGAGTGCTAAAACCAAGCGGAGTGGCTTTAAAAAGCGTCCCAATGAGACCTTCACGATCCGCAGGCGTTCATTGTTAGTCTTCGACCGCGGTTGTAAAACAGCCAACCTCAATGAAGGCACCGTCGAGCGCTAACAGTTTACCTTTACAAGCCCCAAAGAGTTCGTTGAAACCACGGGCCAAATCATCCGCCAGTTCCTTGTAAATTAATGGGCACTCTTTCTTGCTTTCAGGATACCAAGGAAAAAACTGCAAAATTGAAAAAAGAAGCATTTTCAAATACAGAGGGATGGCAAAAGCCACTACGCATCAGCTGCCTGATTCAAAATCACGGAAACTCGTTTCAACTTATGACTAACAGATTGAACATTAAGTAAGCTAATAAAAGCCTCCTCGCTTTTCGATAATGACTGGTGATACCATGCCAAAAATAGTTCTAGTACTTACAGGAAGCCAGATCATGGCTATTAATTTCATGTGAATTCAACTAAGATTTGTCGTAGCATGGAATGTTTAACTCGTAACCAGTATTAATTACGCAAGCAAGCCAACAGCAATGCAGGAAGCAAACATTCAGGTGACAAGTCAGCGACGTTAAGTAGAGATAGCCATACCTAAAACTTTTCAATTGATGCAAATGTGAAAGTGTTTCAAGAAAATTCCGTAAGTTTTATGAGAATGAAGGAATGAGAACAAGGTATAGGCCTGATTACAAACGAAGAGACCAAATCACCGCCATCATTTAGCGGAAAAACAAATTAGCAGTAATACGAATACCAGATCTAATTGAACAGTGTTCACATCAGGGCAACATTAAAGACCTTGTTTTCGTCGGGTGTTTTTGGGAGAGCAGCTCGGGCGGCTTGCATGGCTGTGGCGGTGAACGCTTTGGGTGCCATGGTGGAGACCCACCCAGCCCAATCCTCCGCCAACTTCCGCAAACTGGTAGCCACATACTGAAGTTGTGGAATGACCACGGCACGAATCAACGCAGCCACTTGGTCAAGGTGCCTTGCTGGTGGAGAGGCAGTAATCGTTTCTACATCCACCTTGTGTTGCTGCTTTTTCTTGTTCTTTTTCGACCTGTTTTGCAGTGGTTGGTGTACCAATCTGAAAAATGTTTACTTCTGGCTTGAAAGTAGAAATGTTGTATATAACAAGGGAATATGCAAGTCGCGCACCTTCGAGGTCGCAACATGGCAACAGCCGCCGTAATAAATAGGGTAGCCATCGCCAGCGTCTCCATGGCAACTCCGAAGCCAACAAGGACAGAACTCGGATTTAGCAATCCAGGAAGTGAGGAGTCGGCTTGAGGAGGTGAAGGAAGAGAGGGAATACCGGGAGATTCACCAATAAATTGCAAAAGTGGTTCGCTCAAGCACCGTGGAAGAGCACACTTTTCCATATCTAGCGGTTCATCTAACAAAAAGATCAGGGTAGAAGATTATTCTGCCGTATTCATAAACTATGAGAAGTATAGTTGATAATTACTCGAGGCATTGTCCAAAAGTGCCGTCAAATACTTGAGCAGATCGATTCCAGCCATTAGGATTTGCGTAAAGGGACCATGTACGTAGAAGGACATCATGTTAGTTTTAGGCAGAGGAGGCGGCGACATGAAAATTGCCTCCGATGTGAGGAGAAGGTCAACATACTAAAATAAACAATGAAACAAATTAGGCCAACAAATAATGCCCCCTATTCTCTATTAAATGCAAGTCATCTTATTAAATATGACACAATTCATCTGGTAGAATAACAACGCTCATTGACGGACCGACGAAGTAGTGCTGAGAAATATGCGTTCAAAATGCACCCACATTCCAAAGGTGATGGGAAACGATAAGAACGAATAAACGCAATAGATGGGATCGGATTGATCAAATGCATTTTGCCTTTAGAGTAGAGTGAAAGACACACCTTAAATTTTGTGCAATCGAACGAAGTGACAACTTCCATTGCTTTCATTCGTGATATTAGAGAATTCGATTGATTCTCAATCGTCTCCACTAGATCCTTTAGGTCTTTTCGCGACTCATCACCAAGTTCACCAGAACCGATTTGGTCGATGCATGGAACCGCTTTCATAACCAACTTTGAACAGGCTCCAAAAAGATTTACCACATCTAGACGAAAGTTCATCCAAGCACACTAAATGGGAACAAAAAAGCAAAGTAAATTGCATAATGCACCACTGTGAATAAAATTAGTAAGTCGCTTACTATTAAGATAAAGAAACACGATCATAGGGTAGCACTACCTCAGAAGGCATTTGTCTATAAAAACAATCTCGTACTTGAAGAATAGTTGAACAACTTCCTTAAAAATTTTCAAAGCTTCCTGCTTCACACAGCTTATGTATTTAAGGCGTCCGTTTAGTGGGAATAAACTCCAATCCAACCAATCACTCCTGGAAAGGGATCAACGCAAGGCATTTTCATGCACCTTCAGAATCAAAATGCGATCGTAAATGGTTTGTGTAAATCTTCAGGAGTAAAACACCGAATCACACTCAGATACAGTAAGTATACTATTTTTTACTCCAAGAACGAGAAATGACTAAGATGGTGATCTAAATTTCAAGCCAAAATTCCGCTTACCAAATGATCAAAGCATCGTTTTTGATTTTCTGGGTCCGGTTTTCGACTAAAGTGTAAGAATAATTTTGAACGGATGAATTTGTTGACATCAAAAAAGTGCAAGAGGCAACCCACCGAGAAAATTCTGGAACAACGGAAAAATCTCGATTATCGCAGACATTGAGGAGTGCTTCTTTCACTACAAGTGGAAGGCAAAACTTCATCAATTTTTCAGGCACAATTTATGTCGTAATTGTTCAACAAAAGTTTTCATTGACGCAAATCCAGTTAACTAATTTGAGTTGTCAAGAAAAACACTACAGACAAGAAATCATGAATGCACTACCGCTGGCCATCCGACGATATGCAACGAAATACTTGCGCCACTCTCTCAGGATTTCGATTCAAACCATCGCATTTAGGCAAGCCCAAACATTTAATGCAGGTGAGGCATCGTATCCTCGAAAATGGTTTTTTGGCCAAAAAAAGGGGATAGGTTTTGGGAAATTCGTGACTATAACCAAAGACGACACCGAAAAAGTCTAGACTGACGGGAGGTAAAAAAACTCGCGATGATAATACTATCAGTTTCAAGTTTACATAGGATCGGTGACGCTAAGAAGTCCGTGACAGCACTCACCAGACGCCACTTCACTGGCGAAATTGCCCATCTGTTCGAGTGCATCATCAAAGCTAGAAATGAAAGAGGGAAAAACAAGATTCATGGAGATAATTTTGTAGCATTTCGGATAAAGTCTAGTTTTACTCTATGAACACACCCCAAATCGTGAGCGATGTCGTGTGAGATACTAAAAACTTCAAGCCAAAACTGTATACATGGCAACGGATAAAATGGGAGCATTAACTGAAACACTGAAGTCCCAATCTGTGCAGATCAAAATTCTGACAACATTTAAGTCTAGGTGTAAAACTGCGAAGTATGATGCCATAGAAAATTAACTTTCTTCGTAGGGCCAATTCCGAAGAAGACTATACCTATTGGAGGCGACAAGAACTTTGTAATAGATGAGTTCAGATTGAGCAAGTAGGAGTGAGTCTGAATGCCCCAATTTATAGAGAAACTGGGTATACTCATGGACACGACTGAAAGTCTGACGCCGATAAGCGCACACAAGCCAGCTCTCGGTTTCACGCCGAATAGATCGAACCTTGCTAACCATCATTTCGTGATATTTTATTAAATTCACATTCGTTTGGTCCGGAAGAGTCGTAGATGGAGGTTGATTACCGAAGATAGTCAAGACAGGTCCAGGCGCCATTGCCGCGTAGCTGATGTAAAACAAAGCTTTATAAAATAGGAAAAGTAGGACAAATGCTAGTCAATGGTAATAAAACTGCAATTACTGTGGTACTCAAAAGTTCAACTTCTAATTCGCCTGGTATTTATTCGGTAACTTAATAAATGTTAACGACAAAAGAATATTTTAAAAATTCTGACTTCTATTAAGTGCTAAAATAATATATCGTTTATTAAAAAGGCAAACAACTGGCTATCAGAGGCACTATTTGACGATTTAAAAAAGATTACGAATCTGTAGATCATTCAAAAAATAGTTACGCGAGGATCGGCTATGTTATTTTAAGTCGCATATCAAGTTAATGCCACTGTAAACAAACCCGATAGAAACATTGAGAGCCTCCTTCAAGTTTAGGAGCATCAGCTCCTTTAGCTGACGACCAATACAAGCAAGGCCACCACAAGGCGAAAGGATGGAAGAGAGTCGGAGTCGCATGAGGTGATTGGCTGGAGAATACTTCAAGCCGATTTCTGCGAGCCAGTAGGCAGCAAGCAGCAGTCTTCCAAAGGAGTTTTCGCAACTTGACGGCCCAACCATAGGATCGAGCATCTCAGAAATTGCAAGCTGAAGAAGACCATCAGCAGGTGCTATCTCCTTAGGAGCGTCTTTCTCAAGCAGTTGAGTCCGTTTGGCATGCAATTGGTAGGCCGAGATAAGGTCCGTTATGTTGAGAGGTACACCGTTGGTTCGTGCCAAACGATAAGCACACACTTCATAATGAACGTTTTCATCATCACTAAGAGACTTAAAAATAAAAAAATGGTCCCGATTCACGAAGATGCGTTATGAATTCAGAAAAAGTGTAAATAAAGCCAGATCAAAGTGGAGGTGATGGAAAGTCCCATCTAAAATGAAAGGACAGTCGTATTGTTTCATTGATCAACTCTTACAATACGCAGTAGTTTCAATTCTTCAGGAAATATAACATTTGGTTATCGGACTACATAAAGTCAGTCTAGCTAAGAGGCAGTTAGATTTGTAGTGCACCGTACAAAAAATTGTGCGTGATCAGAGATACCAATGCAGTAATGATGTATAAATAACACTAAAAACAATCAGCAATATAAATTTCATGCCTTATTAAAAACGTTGGCGAAATGTGTTCTAGTCAAGAAGATTATATTCATGAATAAAAGGTAACGAATGGTGATTTAACAAAGCATCTTAAGTTGGAGCCACATAGAAGGATTTTCAGTGGCGTAAAGCGTAAAAGTCAAAAATAAGACCAACTCACTGACAATTTATGTTTGTAGTGAATTTCTTTTAAAAGGGTTCCTATGAACTAAAAAAAAAAATATTTTTAGCGCAAAACAAGTTGAAGACTACGAAAAACGTTTTTTTTACGCAGAAATAGTACATACTTAAAGTAAAGGTAAAAATAAGAATTGAAACTGGAGCAGCAACCGTTATTCTAAAATAACAAAATCCTAACGAGTTCTTGTTGAGACTAATGAGAATGATGGAACTGTGAAGATAGGGACAGAAGAAGATGAATGCTGATAAAACAGGGAACTTACGCTGAGGCGGTTTTCTTCAGATTTAATTAGAAATGGTAAAACATAGGACAAATCCAAGGCCCCTATCGGCTTTCGACCGTACTTAGCAAAAAACTGATTGGCGAGGTTAACGCAAAAGGACTCCTCCGCATTGGGGTGCTGAATTCCACGTTTGATGAGATTTGCAGAAAAGTCAATCAAGGCAAGATAAGGGCCACGACAGTTTGGTGATTGCTTTACAAACCGGTCTATTAGTGAAAGTAAAACTTTCGTCCTGAAAACGCAAATTTGGTGAAAAAAGCAAGAAAATTTCAAGTACACAAAACGCGGGCTAAACCATCAAAGTTACATTCTGATTCAAAGCTACAGAGACAAATGAGCATGGAAAGCAGTGTCGAGAATGCTTAAATAAGTTTAGTGAAAAAAACACACTTGTCTTCATCTTGAAAACCGTGGTGCAATAGTGTTTTCCAGGCAGACCAATTGTCAGAATCCTTTTCCAGCATAACCGTCGCAATTCGTACCATTTCGGACCAATCCCCAAGTTCGGCATTTAGCTCCAGGAGACAGTCTGAGTAGTCATGCTGATAATCTTGTTCATTAATCTTGTCTAAATAAAATGAATTTAGTAAGAAAATCCAGGAATAGACGCACACAAATCGGACTGAGAAGTTGCAAACGAGCAATTATTAAAAGATAACATAAACGCACCCATAACACTACTATCAGTTAAAAGGCCCAGAGCCTTGGAGTACTTGCCCATCCTTTTCAGTACTGAAATGTAAAAATGAAGATCCTTATGTGAACGAAAGTATCCCTCATTCAGCGCCTTCTCTAAAATTCGCTCGGCTAATGGGAGAAACATGCGTTTGGCCAACGCTGCGTCCTTTTCCCCCTGTAGAACTGTACTTAGGGCCATCCAAAACCTAAATCCTCGGTCCAGAGGATTTTGTTGGCACAGTTTGCGGGCGATTGCTTGTTGAGCATTGAAATTGCATTTGCGTACATGAATAAAAAACAAGCAAACAAGGAGGTCCTCATTATCAGGAAACTTCTCTAAGGCAGTCGTAAGATATGACTGAAGCGTCTCCTCTAGATTAGCGCGTTAGGGAGAGTCTTCACTGTACCCTTATCCAGCTCCCTGAAAAAAGTGGACATAAAGTTCAGAGTATCCCGGTCTGTATGAGTTTCTCCCATAACTAAGCTCATAATCTCGCAGGCTTCCGCCATCTTAGCAGATCTAAGGAGAACAAGAGCTTTCAATGCCTGCAATGTTAGCATAAATAGGTACTTACATTTGCGGAAGGCGATTTCGGGTTCTTTTTAATGAATTTGTTAACTTCGAAGAGCGCACGCCTAGTATTTCTGCTTTCAAGAAAAGCTTTAAAGTGTTAAGATTCCCACTGAAGCTTACCAAATGCGTCACGCAACCTCTGCTCGTTGGACTCCAAATCCGAATACATCACGTCGGGATATACACATATAATGCATCAAACCCACGAATTCAAGTGGTTACCTGCAAATATCAATGAATCAGAACTTTAGAGTTTAGCTGCCTTTTGTAAATATAATAGTATTAAAGCAAAATTTTGCCTCTTCTTTAGAAAAATGCTTTTTAACTCAACAAAAAACCAAATGATGAAGTCATAGTCTGTACAGCATAGAGCTTATAAAGATCGCCCTATTTGGAGCATGATTGCCCGTGAACTAGTGAGACTCATAGTACTTTTGAGCAAACTAGTTTGTTCTATTCCCTTCTTAAAACCTAAATATTTCGCCGTCAGGTTTAGTCACTCTCAACTGACCTATGCCATTTGCAAAAATCGTGCTAAAACTTCACATAGCTTGTAATGCTGTGTGGGTTGCTATTGCTGTGCGCCGTAGCATAACTCGCGGTAATTACATCTGTGAGTAAGGGTCTTTTCATCATTTTCTAACGACACCTTCGATATTTTTTTCATCGCATTCGTTATCGTAACGGTGGAAATTTGTTGCAGTTTATTTTATCAATGCGTATTCCTGTATGATTGCAGAGAAATTGGGGCTTTTAATGCAAAGAAAATAAAGCATTTATGGTTAGCTGTGCAAGTTTCATTTGCCAAACAATCTAATTGCTCTACTTTGTATCTAACTCGTATTTAACGCCAGCGGTTATTCCCAATATTTCTCCTCAAAGCACCATAACTGTTGATCATATGGTGTGCCAGACTACTCTAAAAATTGTTTGTTTTAGGATGAATTGGGGGCATTCGAATGGCTGAGGGGTCAAAAAGGATAATAAAATGCAGACCTCCTGGTTTTATTCCCCGTGATTGGCAGGCTTCACGTATTAGGTATGTATATTTTGTAGTTGTTCATTTGCCATTTGGAGTCATATGTTTTGCTTAGCGGAAATTTCAGCAATTCTTTTAATGTGTCATTTTCGAGAACCCCTATTCCCTTCGTCATCGTTCTCATTATGCATCTAGAATAAGGACTTTTTGGATATCTCACTCCGGCTATTTTACTCATTTTTGGCAAAATTTATGTCTGGAGAATATTCTTTTTACAGCCTGCGTCCCTTTCACTCATCCCCTATCTAGTCCTGTATTTCGGTCCTTATTTTAACACGAAGCTTTTCTTTGATAGGTTTACGCATAATGAGATCGAGCGTAAACGTCGTGCACGGTTGAAGTCGGAAACCGATTTTCTTCACCAACAACTTCCAAATGCCGTTTATCGGGACAAACTTGCGGTTTTTAAAGCTGGAACTGAGTTATTAATGCGATATTCAAGTAGGTTCTAAAAGTCTAGTCGTTATATGTGTAGACTATTTATCCACTATTTTCTTATCATTATGGCGAAAGCATTGAATTGTTAATGCAGTGCCTTGTTTTCTGTGCAGATTTAAATGGCTCAGAGGCACGAAACCTGATCCTTACCGATAATGAATATTCGGAGTGCATATTAAAGGTGGTGTTGGTTGAATCATTTTACATCCAATTTAGCAACTAATTTTTAACTCCTGATTTCACTGTTTTTATTTGTTTTGCACACTATACAAATATTTCTGTTTAATATTGCTAAGATACGGGTTCATCTTATATAATTCCCGCTTCATGCTCATATTTATGATTTTCAAATTACAGAACTTTGATGGCTTCGGTATGCGTATACGATGTAGTGATGCAATGATTTTGATGGCAACGGGAAACTTGGGTCGCTGCCTTGGATCTGATCTTGCAAGTTTTTCTTAACTTTTTCTCACCAGCTGTTTTCCCTTATGCAATCCCAAGGCTAAATCATTTCGAGTCAAAATTTTGCTGTTCCCAATCGAATCGGGTACTTTGCGTAGATGGTAGTAGAGCTAATGTGGTGTTTTTGTTCATTATTGTTAACAGTTCCGTTTTATCTCTACCCTGTAACCGAGTTTTTTTGCTCTTGATAATATGATTATCGTGGATTTTTTCACACATTTGCGTTAGCTTGAAGGCCTTGTTTAATTACCTACTTTTGAATTTTCAGAAATAAGTTCTGAATAATATAGCTAGCGCGATGTTATCGTTTATTAATTGTTTTGCATGATTCCACATCCATGTTTGAGCTAAAATTCTCATTATTTTTGTCGACCATGTTTTCTCTGCTGTTACATGCGTCTATAGTGCTGGCTAAGTATTATTTTGACTATTCAGACCATTTTAACGGGGAAAACGCTAAATGAACTGATTTCTCCGAGTGAACTGACAGAAGGTATTATTAAGAGTAATCTTTCCATATCTTCCGAGGAACGTGACCAACTTGCGAGTGGGCGTAAGTTTTAGGGAAAATTGCACTGATATCTGTAAATGCGCAATGGATATAATTACCCTCTTTAAAGCGACTCAATCTGTTGATGCACATAAAACTTGAGTAATTTCCTGAGCTAGTTCTTTAACCTAGGCTGCCTCTTTTCATCTACTATAAGTGTGAGTTAGTAGCTTACTTTGTTTACAATTTACAGTGGCTCAGGTGCTATTGGCTAGCCGTATTAAAATGATAGGATGATCCTGCTTCACCTCCTTTATCAGTGGTCTTTAATGAAGACACCAAAGCGCAAATGCAGTGTCAGAATTTCTTAAGTCAAAATGCAAAACCAGGGAATTTTATGAATATTTCCTATGATATGTGGTGCTTACTTTACCGGAGTAACTGACAAATCTAATGCTACCTTTAGAACCCATCGCTCGCAGTTTCATACTTCCGATCGTCGACAAGTCTAAGCCTCCTGTTGACTCATCCAGAGCAGGCTACTGTCTTTTGGAATGCTGTGGCGATATCGGTCTGTTGTTAGTAAAGATTTATTCGAAACATGCGGTTTTACATGGGTGAAATCACTTATTAGCATTCATACTATATAATGTGAACGAATAGGTAGCAGTGGTCTGTTAGATCGTGAGGGAGGTAAGTGCCCTTATTTAATTCACGCTGCAGTTTTACCACCATGCTCCAATCAGAACGTGAATGAGCCCGTGCTGCAGACCATTTGCCGCGTTTTTGAGCATCATCTTCCTGATCAGACGGTACCCAAGAGCAAGCTCTTCTCGTTACGCCTTCAACCCGACTCGCACCGAATAGTGGAACTGCATGGCCAGTGAGTCTTTTTTTCTAGTGCCGCAACATAAAAGTTAACCCAGACTCAGCTCACTTTTTGGAAGAAAGGTAGGATCCATCTCCAAGTGTCTTATGTCCGAAAGCTACCAGAGGTACACAACCCACGTTATCGGGTAACTGTGCTTTCTAATTTGTTGAGCTGAGTCGCTGAATCAGTCCCATTTTTGTGTTTCTTTTAGTGAATTACCAAGAGGTATGTCATCGAGTGATATGATCGGCCACTCTCTGGCTGACCTTACTTCGCCAGCTGCTCGATCAGTCACAGAGAGTAACCTCCATAATGGTGAGTGGCAGCTCTCCACCCCCTCGCACGTTGAAGCTACATCCAGACAATTTCAGTGACAGCACTCACCTTTCCCGTTTGTTAAGTTTGGAGTCACAGTTTTTGGTATCTAGACTGTTTCCCTCTAGCCACACAAAGTGCGTGCTCATCTAGCACAGCAACAGAACTCATTATTCAATCTATTTATTTACATAGCGCGTTAGTGATCGTGATCACCTTATTCATCTTGATTTTTAGCGGAACTTACTGGCGAATCCACGTTCACAATCTATTTAGGAGATTCCTCCTCCGATTCGGCGCCTGTGCATCAGTTTCTGGTGGTGACCAAGGCAATCATTGTTTCCAATTGTCTCCACTGTCTCGTAGCAGACTTTTATCCTCCTCAGCAATAATTGACATGCACTCCCTTTCATCATCCATCCTTCTACCTTGGCAGTTTCTTGTCTATTACTTATGCACTCAAAACTTACGCTTTTACTTTAAAACGATCACCCAAGTTGTAGATGCCCACCTCCGTATTATGCAATGAAATGGGGACACTAAGCGTATTCCAAAGCTGGTAGCGCGCTTCCTTACGAATTTGTTGGATTATGATGCGCGTCCACTAGCGGTTCAAAAAAAATGGAATTTCACTTTTCACTATGAGCGCAAATCAGTTATGAATGGTTTGTCATGAGCATTCAAGGCATGAATACCTCATTTTTGATAGGATAGATCATTGTACGTAAACGAACACAGACAGAGGAGTTTGTGGTGGAAGAGGTCGGGAATCAGAAAAATTATTGATCTGACGGCTCCAGATCAAGGGCCTCTGGACCAAAGCCGGCGCTCCTCAGTAAGTCTGATGGATCGGGTTTCGGTTCAGCCGCATATTCTAACCATGCTTCAAGTGCAGCACGACCGGCGGCCTTGTACCTCCTAGTTGCATCCCTTGTACTCTTCACCCTATCCTAACATACCTCGCAACTCGGAAGTTCAAAACACTTACTTCCTCGTAAATTTTTAAGAGTAGTTCACACTTCCTCTTAAGCTCCGCCTTGTCTTCTAGTCGCCTCCGAAGGACACCTGTGCTGGCAATAAAACGGGTCGATAACAAGACTTGCCACTCGATTGGGATGCCCTGGCGCTCATTTCGCAATCTTTAAGGAATGTGGGCTGCGTTAGACGACTCAGTCGCCTGATATCATGAATAGAGTAAGATCAGATTAAACAATGCCTTACCCTTGGTAGGAAGCGATTGGGAATAATAACGTCAAATGTTAGGTTGCTAAATGGGTCACTTAAACGTAATGACAGTCCCAGACAGAAGAGATGCAATAATATGGGAGTTTAATAGCGTTAGGTCTCAGAGTTGGAAATGTGGTCATTTTAGTCCCCTAAAACGCTTGGTAATCGTTTAACTAGAGCGACACGTTGAACAGAATAAACTCGCAAAAGTAGTTAATACTTAAAACATCAGTCAAAATGAAATCTACAGTATCCCCTATTCTTCAACGATTGCGATACATACTCACCCAGAACAAACACACGTGCGCAACCACCCAACGTTACCACCTTGAAAGGAAGTACTGGATCCGAAGAATAAATTTTTAGGCGACTGAGATAGTACACAGCTGTATTTTTGGTGTACAACAACAAAACTTCTTACCCAGCCTTGAAAGCAGAACCTTGAGCCAAGCAATAAAAACTCGGTTTATGAAAACAAACTTCATTTCGACAATGCTTGCACGTAAGGTCATATTATGACAGTCGAATTAATAGGTAATAAAAGGTTTATGTATAGTTTTTTAAAATAGGTATATAATCAGCTTCTTGATGTGCTTTGCAATATCATTAGTTGTTTAGGAACATTGGCGACTTTATTACTAATTTGTCATAATAGATTGCTGAATTACATTCATTTGTACTTAAAAAAGAGCAGGGCTTGGGCTGCCGCAGAATTAACACAAGAAAATTGACCCATAATATCTTTCTGTTATCATATACCAAGGCATCCTAATTTTTACTGAATTTTATCTGTGCATTTAATTACTGGGATTTCTCAGTCACGACAGTCTGTGCCTCCACTTGCTGAGCTGGCCTTCCTCAGGATCTACAGCCACCAAGACCCTCTATCTGTGGATAATTAATCTGGGCTTGGAGCGGAATTTCCCAGCAATTGGAATTTTAGTGGAAATAAATGTCTACGTGATGTTTTAATGCATTGTAAAGGCAATCCCATTCAGTACCGGGGCACACGCTTTATGCGAGTTGTGCCATAACACTTTAGGTTCATTCGTTTCGCATTAATTAATTATTTTGAGATATCTGCCCGTGACTTGGCGATACTATGTCAGATGGGGTATTGATCTTCCTAATGCTAATTCGGTGGAGCTGTTAAACTCTCTCCCCCACTGAATTTTGAGACGTACATGAATGCAACATTGTGTTCACAACATGGTATGATAAGTGTGACTAATTTGTTCCGCATTGTACGAAACCACCATGCCTTCTTCCGCCCGACGCCTTGTATCGCCACTGTATCTGATCCGCTGTTTGAGTGCCTGAATCACGTCAAAATTTTAATCACTCAACTAGCTTTTCGTTCCCCACCAAGTATGCATGTGGTGCCAATGCCTTAGCGAAGGCTGCTTTTATTATCATTTCTGTGGCATTCCACTGTAACATTTGCCCTACTGTAAATTGTGGACTCAAGATGTGGGCTTTATTTAAAACTCAATCATGTTGATTTCAAATCGTTATGTTAGCATTTCCAATTCGTCCAAAGCTAAGTAATTGATTATTCCCATCACTTTCTTTCTCAATTAGCCCTATCCCACTACTTTTATTAATAGTGAATTTGCTACTGAAAGCTTGAAAGACAATTCCCCAAAGAAAGAAATGTATGGCTACATAGTACCAGGGAACTTGAGCTATTTCTTCCTAATCATCTACGAGATGAAAATATTCGTATTTGGAATAGTGTTGCAATACATCGTGTGTATTCGTATCCTATACAATGGTACCTGAAAAGTGTCCATAATATCAACTACGTGCTAGGCTGCAGAATAATACCTTGGACGCATAAGCCATATTGATTCTGAAGTGTTTCCTTCCCAACTGTACTAAGCATTTTATAATAGTTGGGCAGGATAACTGAGTAATTTGTTTTTTTCTTGTTTATTGTAACCAAGTGTGTCCAGTTGAACTCCCCCATTTTCATAGGTTCATGATAAGTGAATGCGCGCCGGCGTTAATGCACGCAATACCTGTTTCACCAGCCGTTACCGACGTCCTCTGTACGTGCTCGTGGGAATGCTGACGCGTTATAACTTCTACAAAACAGTTTTATAAAAGTCTAGCTTGCGCTTCCCAGTATGCTTAAATCACTTCCATTCAACCATACCCATACCAGCTTAGAAAAACCACAAAGATGCTTGTAATGCCAAACAGTACCTTGAATTTGACCGAGACAGCTAAATTGTTTAGGTAAGATTAAACACTTCGAATAAGTTACCATATTTTAAAGGAGAAGTGGAGTTACCTGAACGAGGAACTGGGTTACAGAATGGTGTTTCCTATAAGCAGAAATATTTCTCGGAATGTGTGCCAAGGAAAGGTACATTCTTTATTTCCATGAAAGCATTGGTCCAACTTACCCGTAAGTAAGATTGGGCCTTGCTCATGAAATAGGTCTCCTTCCCTCGTAGATGCTCTTAGTTGCGTATTTAACATGTTAGCTGGATACAATAAATGCGTTACGCCATAAAACACGGCCAACTGGTTCTTCCACATCTGTGAATCAAATATGCTTGATAGCATGGTGAAACTTGGAGTTTTGCAATAAATTTTCACAATTCCATCAAAGCAAATGATAATGGTCGTGTTTCCTTAAGTGAGTGGGCATTGCCATCATTAAACGAAGCAGCATGTCAAGATTTCTTATTTGCCTAGTAAATAATCAGCAAAATATGCCAAATTCTTACTTATGAATGAAGGTAATTCGCTGTTACACAATACGGTGTTGAGTAAATGGGATAGTTGGTGATTTTGCATCTAATGCCGTTTTCTGTTTAGCAGGCATGCATGCTTGAAAATAATATATTTACTTTCTCCGCATGCAATGAGCCATTGCACTCGCCCTTTTGAGGCAATTTTCGACTTAGATTTGCTCATCAATAAGTGATATCTGCTTCCGTTGTATTGGTAATTCTTAATAAGAGAGCTAACTTAAATATGTTGGTTTACCACAATGATCCAATAGAACCACAAATTCAAGAATTCCCACCGACTCCAAAATTTATTGTGGAGCATCGACAGAACTAGCACATCAGTGCTTATTCTTATTTCACTTTTTTCGACAATAGCCAACCACAAAGGGCTGCGAGAATCTGAATGATGCAGAGTATTAGCTGAGCAATACCTGCGACCAAGCCCTTGCTGCTTAGAGCCACCTCAACCGCCTCCCCGCAACCCTGAGAAATGCGAAAAGTGTTGATGGCCATCGTGTAACGCTTCAGTTCTTCTCTTATTTAATTTAGGCTAATTTCCGATATCAGATCAGCATTTGTATAAAATAATTATTTTGGCTCAAATAAAAGTGGTGCAAACAGCGAGTTTATTTAAGCGGTAAATAGAATGCCATTCGATATATATTTAGTGTCATTTTGTAATGTGCTGCCTCTATTCAGACTTTCGTTGAGTTTACAGCGAGGTGTTTGGTGATACAAACTAACAATTCAAGTTCAAAAGTAGGAAAGCATGTCCAACTCACTCGGGTAAACTGGCTTTTTGTATCCGGACACGGTGCCTTGCCTTTGCAGCAAAAACTGAGGGTATCATTCATGCCCCAATCTGATGGATCTTTACCACCGCAACATCCAAACTAAAAGCAATGCACGATTATAGAGCAAAACTACGGTTTCACATAAAATGCCCTGATTAACTGCAAATACGTTGTGCGATGTTGCTTATAAGCAAAATGTAGGAAACCGTCGGATAACTGAGTAAGGAATGAAATGCATGGGTTACATTTAGTTTTCAAAAAAAAACTTGTTTTATATGCGGCAAACAAAGTGATCATTGTCACGGTCAAGTCGGTTAAAGCAATGCCATAAAAGAATGAGTTTGCTGAAGATGATATAGTTCCGTGATGAAAAGAAGGCTATCACGATTACGGTCATTGCAATCATCGTGAGGTGCATTCTTTTTGGTAGTTTTATATAAAATAGAAGCGTAGGTCTAGCTCATTTTTTCCTGGGATAATCCAGTTTTTTGCATTCGTTACATCATGTTAGTCATAGGATCTAATTCTCAAAGCTGTTTGCATTTTGGGAGTAAAATTAAAGTGGTGGATATAATGCAAATACTTTTTAAGCAGTGTGCGCTAGTTCGAGCGGATGGACTGAATTATACGCTCAAACGTGAATTTATTCAGCACCATGAAATTGGTAAGCGTGCGAGGCCTATGGAGTCTTTTTGTGGTCAAGTTAATCATATTAATTAGCCAAATTATTACTTCAACATGATCCACCAATCATGAGCACCGCGAGTTATAAAGTAATGTCTGTTACCGTTTTTTGGATTGTAAAAAGGGTGTTCTTTAAGCTTTCAGATTCAGTATTCTCGTAGGCCGTAATGGCGTCATCGAAATATCTCTCAACGGTTTCTTTGATCTATAGACATAATTAATATCGGTGACGCTGGATTTACCTTACTTTGAAAAATCAGGACCAGAATAGCCGCAATAATCTCCAAAATAATCATTACCACGAGGGAGGACGTGTACTAGAGAGAAGTGGTGAAGTAAAACTAAAGAAATTACCGCTTTCAGCATGAGGGCGTCTTGAACTAGAGCTCCACAGCATCCCATGAGACCAACCAGAAAGATAATGATTCCGACAATGATGAGAAAGATAGGCACTGCGTGCACTTCGCTGATCTGCCCTTCCCCGCCCAGTCTCACAAAAATGTAAGTACCGAAACCAAGGCAAAAAAGTCCAGCCGCCTGAAATGCAGAGCATCAAAAGTTGCACAGCCACTTCCCACATAGGTACTCCATCCAGATTCGCGAGTCAAATTTAGGGGAACGAAGGGTTTAAATACTCAAATAAAAAATATACTCTTTGCTGATTTATCTCCCATCAGTTTCTGGTTTCTAGTGCAATTACAGGGGCTAAAGAAGTTGTGATACATTGTGATCATTCCAACTGGTCTTTCTGATGCATGGAAGAAAATAGGCGAACTCACCAAAACCACAACATTGAATCCCACCAACACGTACTTAAGAAATTTTCCACTTGTTGTAAGTGCCATTTTGAGTCTACAAATATGACTTTCTCCACGAAAAATACGCCATTTGCATTGATGCAATAGTTTATATAGAGGGATGTGCGGGTGGATGCTAGTGATCGGTTGAGCGTGAATTTCGCTTTCTGAGAAGTTCGGCTCTAAAGACGCGAGAAGTCGTCTGCTGGAAAGTACAACCCCTCGCAGCTAGTCCGGAGGTGGAAGGAAGCACTTCTCACACTTCGATAACTTGATCACAAACTACTACAAATATTTTGATTCATAAGTTAATCTTACCTACCAAGTAAACCGACTATCCAACTAGATCGGTCAGTTGCACTATTTCTGGTCGAATTATCATGAAACATTTAGTTAACCTTTAAAAATTCGCGTTTCCAAACTTATTCCCTGCACTTTTATGTACTTTAACCAGGACATGACAATGTCTTGGTTAGCCTATGCATTAGGTCTGCACAGTTAGAATCAAAACGAGCCTCGGTTACCCTGTCTATATGCAGTCACAAAGAACACCAAAATGACATATAAAAACGAGAATCCAGCTGCTCTATAATTCTTCCTATCCCACCAAACGCAGTGAAAGGGAATTGGATTTGAAATTTACGGCATCCACCACGAAAAGGTCGACATGGCACAGAGGGGAAGACCGACTAGGGAAGTGAATGCTGGAGAAAACACTGGACTAAAAAAAATTTTCAAATCTGATACCAACAATGCCGTCAGCGTTCTCTCACCCATGCATCCCGTTACTCCGGTCACAAGACAGATCATACCTTGTGAGCATGGTCAAACGTAAAAGTACTTTGCTCTTTAGAGGCAGCTGCTCATTATTTTTGTTGAAATTGTTAATTTAACCAAGAAAGGGTGTCTGATTTTTTAAATAATCTTTACGTGCTAAAAATTACGGTGCGATTTTAAGTCATATTACGTATTCTACCGGCATGTTTCCCAAGTATAAACATGTGAGGAAACGATGACATCTGAATCACGAAGACGGCTATGAAGTGCCCCTACCTCTCAAAATATTTCTCAAATGCGAAAATACTCACCCCAAATTCAACAAAACAGGCATCATTGCTGCCGCAATAGAAGAAACATTTTGAGAATAGATAGCGATCTCTGGTGGATTTTTATTCCTTTCATTCCTTTCTCGCCATCGTATGTGTGGAGTAAATAACATTCATCGTCCTGATCTGACGATTCCATGCGAGTTCAGCAGCTCCCTCCCAAAAGCAGAGCTCATGCTCAATGAGACGCCATTTTAGAACATTCATTCAGTTTACAAAAAAATTAATGGGGTACTGCGGAATGCACTAGATCCAACAAACGGCCCATGCAGGAGGCGTCATTCTTTTGCAGACCGCACCTCAAAGAAACTCTGCTCTCGCCACTAGGATCAGGCAAACAGTAGTAAAGCAACGTCACCCTTGAGTATTTTTCAATAGGACCAAGCAATGTTTTGTTAAGTAAGCCTGCACACATCAAAGGAAGCGTTTTTTGCAACGGTTTCAGAGCAAGTTCTGCATCGAGTTCTAAAATATGAAATTGTGCGACTAGCCCGGGTAACAAATCCGTAAACAATACGAGAGGTATATGGTGTATCATATACTTTGTTCTTCATAAGTAAAGAAAGCTCTCAGTCATAGTTCGAGCTGGTGAGAACGATGCAAGTACTCAATACTTTATAATCAAATCATTGTTTCAAGTTAAATTGTCAAAAGTAAGTGAAAAAAAATGGGAATAATCATGCATCTATGAAAGCTGGTTATATATGCTGACCCAGCAATTGTGATATTTAAACAAATAAATTTATGATTGATCACTAGGACTAATCATGCGCACAATCATCTTTGGGGGCGATAGCACTGCAACAAGTAGGGAAGATGACAACTCAATCAAATCACAATCGAATGTAGGGTCAATGCCAAAAAGACTAGTACAATCAAAAAGACGTAAATGCAATCATGTCCGATCTAAGTGCCGCCGACATTTGGCGATCTCTGGTGGTGCTAGTGGAAGAAGGGAGGGATGTGTCCTCCTGTATTGAGGGTGACTCCGTGGGCGGATAATCTGCGAGGCACTGATCCGCCACGAAATTCACATCGTCACTCCCACGGTAATCTGATTCTCCGCTGTGCTCTGGAGTTCTCGACAGAAATTGATTCGAAATTGAGCTGTAGTAATCTTCCTTCCCAGATAGATCTCGCCACTTTATCAATTGCACGGCCTTTGCGGAATCTGTTCGTCTCGAGTGTCCTTGCTCCCTCAGAAGGGAGTGCTCATCACTGCTAGCCTCTGCCTTGTGAGTTCCGCCCAAGCCTTGTGATTTGCAGTCACTTAAGAGGGGAACAGGAGGAGGAGGAGAAGGATGATCCGCATTCTGTGGTGAGTCAGGAATGGTTGCCGATTTCGATGGATTCGAGGGTGGTGGTGGTGGCGACAACTTCATTGACTCAATTCGAGCCATGCTATGTGAGATCAACTCCGAAAGACTTTTCTTTAAACTTAACCTATTCAGAGAAAAAAGAAAACAGCAATTTTACTCAATTAAATATAAGTAAAATTTCCGTTGACCGGTGAAACTCACGTTCCGAGAGTACGCTTTCGTACATCTTTTGGTACACCCACATTAGTCACCGATGTGGCATCATTTCCATTTATCGGTTTGCTAACATTATCAGTGGTTTCTCGAGTGAGAGGAAGTTTCTGTTCCAAATCTTCTTTGAATGACTCCAAATCGACGTTCGCATCATCCATAGCATCAAGACTGAGATCATCGTCGGAGTTGACATCTGCTGCATCCAGATTCTTGGTCTGAGACTCTTCGACCTCGGGCTCAATGTCCGCCACCAATTCAACACTATGCGCCTCGTTTCTTCTCCGAAGAGGAGGGAGGCTACAGCAATGCGTCCGACAAAAGTCCTGGAGACTGACACTGAGATCTTGCATTGACTTTTTTGTGGGCATGGGCAGGGGATTGTAAAAGGCACCTCTGGACTGCGATGCCTTTGTTGTTTCTGCATGTAGGGGCGGCTGCAATGGTTTCGAGTGTTGTGAAGAAGGGAGGAGTGAAACCGTCTCCTCTGTGGGTGTCTCACTCTCACCTGCAATGGTCTTCATCATGCAAATCATCCGATTCATCAGATCCGCACACTTTTCGCTCTCAAAGATCAGCAACCCACGCCCACCAGTGCACTGGCTACCGGTCAGGATATAAAGGCGCTCATCATGGAAGCCAAAACTGAAACGGATTTGTAGGCAAACAGTAGTGTGTGACTCCGGTTGAAAGCGACTGACGGTATGACAGGTAATCTAAAAGTAACTACCATACTTTGAGTGTTTGAGACATTAGAGAGAACTAGGAATTTGAATGAGAAATAATACCAAAACGGAATCCCAAAAGTCTTCAATCAAACATGAAACCACTAGATTTCGGTACATAAAAATATTGATAGTACTTGCAGTTCCATACTCAGCATCAAATGGGCAGTGGTTGTGCGTGGTAAGAAGTTCCACTGAGTGGCTTTGTGCACATATTTTGTCTCGATGGTGCAGACGAGCAAAAGTGGAAACAAACCGTCTTCTTCGGTTCTGTTTACAATCGACTGTGTAAGTGTGATTTAGCTATTAGCAAATAATCACCTCTCATGTTCAATCTTTTATTTACAAAGAGAAACACACCAGGTTACACGGTCATCTAAACTGCGTATTTGGTGCTCTTCAAGATCGCATGGACGGAAGTGACTCACTAAGATCATGAACACTCAACTGATTTGCACGCCACCGACATTTGCATAACAGATTGGTGGCAGCTAGAGAACCCGGAAACTACCCCCTTTTATGTAAATAAGAAGACTCTTTCGTGTATTTCCTAAAAAGAACCCGCTTGTATTCACTTGATATGACCACAGTTACGAAAAACCTTAACAGCGTACACTAAGAAAAAAGTTGCATTGTTAGAACAGCACAAAAGCAACACCTTATTCTATGATTGATTAAATTTTGTCACGCAAAAAGTCTAATTTAGAATAATTCTTCTGAGCCATTTCACTACTTATTATACCCATAAAATTTATCAAAAGGCCGGGGTGTTACAACGCCCCAATGTGTCAGAAACTTTAAAAATAATTGCTAATAAAAATAGTCTTCAAGCCTTACCTATAATCTCCTTGATCATGGTTTTGGATAAATGAAGTTCTGCAAATTTTACTATGGGTAAATCGAATGCACATTTGTTCGAATGTATATCCTAACTCAAGCTATTAATATTTCTACTCTAGCAGACAGGCCTACCGAAATGTGGGTTTCGGGCCAATTAACACAAAACATTCATAATAAAGTTAATAGTGTTAAACCGCACAGTTTGACTCTGTTAAAGGTATTCTATTTAACTGCCGAGGGGAAAGCTGAATAACCTCGCCTGCATATCCTAGCAAGCCCTTAATCGAGCTATATCACCTTACCACAGCAAAAATCCTGGTTAAAAATATTCGTGATTCTTGCGTCTTGTAATTAATTTTGCAAATGAATGCATGGGGACTCAAAAAATACATGAAACAATGGCATGAAAAGGCGCTATTCTATCTAAAGTGCCTGACTTCAATCAAACGCAACATTTTGCGCTAATGATAAATGCAGTCGGTTCAAAATTGAAAGACCCTTTCAGAGTCAAGAGCTCCAGTTCAAGTAATAGGCAAGAACAATTTAAGTAAATTTTTGGATTATTTAGTCATGCTTGAGTGCAAATGCATTTGATATAAAACATAAATTAAGAAGAAGTTGAATTGATAACTTTACGATGACACTTATGCATACACGTAAATATATGGAAACAATGAAAAAAGTGAGTACTAAACTTGCCTTCTTATGGATTTGAAAGGCCATCTGTTGACTTCCGACATCGTGATGTAGTCCAAAAGACATATATCGTACTCCTTTAGTTCAAGCAGGAAGATACCTCTGAGCTGCAGACGGGTGGCGAGTTCGGTGGACACAACTTGCACTTTCATTGCTGTTGTGCATACAGGAGGCAAATGTGAAGAGGAACAACCAAACAAATAAGTACAAAATAACAAAACTTCAAATACAATAGGGCTTTCAATTTAAGCAGCCAAGAATTCAATGCAATAATAATCCAACATAAGCTCACCACTCCAGTCATGCTTTTCATAGACTTTGTTTTCGGTCATAAACTTGTCGATTTCGTTGATATCACATGACTGTAGGGTCTTATTCCCACTATTTCGCGCCCGCTTGTTACAGTGCAAACGACTAGAACACGACTTCTTATTTCCCTTCAAAGCCTCTCTTATATGTATGAGAAAAAGACGTTGAGAAGCCTTTTCGTTAAACCCGATCTTCACTTCTTCGCCTTTAAGAGGCCTTCGCTTTTGCAATGCAATTTGATAAATTGGTTCAGATTTGACTCGGTCCGACTCATTATTAGGAGATTCGGTTTTTCTCCCGGTTATTTTCAAGCATCTTTTATAAGAATTGACTCGAAATCGGATCTTGCGATCATCTTCATCAACAGATTCATAAATAGGATCAGCTGGATCTGCTACCAGAACTAGCTTATTCGGTCTTCCGAAAATTTCCAAATTGGCTGCAATCCAATCAGCTGTGGGAGGATTACCTTGCTAAAAATGCGAAATCTTAATGCTTCGTAGTTAATCGACAATAGGTGGATAAAGTATGATGTCGACAATGCAAAAAAGTCATAACAAATAAAAGCAAAAATTTACGTTGTACCTTGTTAGGAATTTGCCACAAAAACCCACTTCTACTTATAGACATCGCCACACATTGGACATTTAAAATGTCGCTGTATGACAAGCCTCTGGTAAACCGAACCTTTAAACAATGTAGCACATAAGCAACCTTGCAATGTAAATGAAAAACGACATATAAAAAGTAAAGTCAGTGTTTTGCATATTTTAAAGTACTCAAAATTTTAGACCATACAAAGCACATTATTGTTTTTTAAAAATATTTATAATTTTATTGGAGATTATATTCAACAAAATAACCACATTTTGATGTCGTTAAGTATGATTTATAGCTATCACAGAAATAAAGGTCTTGTATTGCTTCGGCGAAAGGTGTGACTTTTTCTGACGGATGCAGTATATTGTTCCAGGCCTTCTCTACATTCGTAGTAGTTTTGTTAACCCCGTACTTTGTTTAACTAGGCAGGTGCTTCACTCCCCGTATATAGTACTTTCACTCTGCAGTATGACCTTTGAGCCATACTAGCAGCCTGCTAGCTCTTCTGCGCTTTGGTGGTCGTTAGCTAAAATGGGCCATGCCAATATCAAGGATGATCTGTTCGTAACGTGTAGGAGGGACGGGATGATAAAATCGGCCCTTCAAAAGTCATAACCGCGAAGACTCATCTAAGTATGTGCTGAACGAAATATCAAATCATCACATAACATCTTCTTCAGCGATGTTCCAGAAGCATCGGAAACAACCTGCTCTTCCATCGCAACGCAGCCAGTGCTTTAAAGATCGTCTAGGTACCAGGAATTCGAAACGGCATTTACTATCCTGGTTTCTATCCAAAGTTCATTCTGCTAAAAGAGACGTGGAGGAGATATCCTTTATCCACTAGTTTGCATCTCCATAGTGGTACTGCGGGCGGCCCTCAATTGGCTAATCAAATCGTTCAACTTTGGCAATGTTTCTGTCGGTAATATCTTTCTTGAGGAACGCGAGACTGAGATATTTACCAACTGAAGGCATCGTCTTAACCCTTCTGCTGGTGGACTTTTTACATTCAGTTTCCCACAGTAGATGCCCTTCTGTTGTATTGTTAAAATTTTAGTAATCATCAATAAAAATTGAGGTATCTGTCCCTTTCATCGCGTTTGTTTGTCGCTACTGCCAATATAGACCTCCGAGGCTTTCCTGAAGTGCTCACATAGTTGATGCATTGGTAAACGAAACCTCCGGGAATAACATAATTTTTGTGTTGCGAATTAGTTCACTGAATTTGTCAGGTTTTCATTCGTAGATATTTCTGCTTATTGACTGTTTTAGTGAATAACACTGCGATAAATTCAGTTCTTAATCTAATGTTCATTATGTTTATGACTATGCCAGTTGTAAAATGAGAGCAAAAAGACTACACTACTAAGGTGTAAGTATCAAGGACGTTACCCTCATTCATTAGAATTTGATAGCGTATTTTACTAGAATTTTAAGGTGCTGTCATTTTACGATTTTGTATCATCACCCTCATTCCACCGTGGTGCACCATTTATCCTCGCAACCGTATATGTTTAGCTGAGTAGAACTTTCGAGGTTAAAAATATAACCACATTGGCTTTAAACTGCTAAGGTGGTAGCTGATTCACGGAACCTGAATGATGTGTAAATGAGAAATGCACATTTTGTCTACTCTGCTGTCGTACGGATCCGGAAGTTGCATAGCTTACTAGTAGAACGAATTAACGATTTGGGTGGGAAATTTTGCATTGCACTTTGATATGCAGAACATTATCTGTTAATAAGTTGTCTTCACATTATTACAATTCCGATAAATGGGGAATTTTTACATGAAGAAGTAACTTCCCTGCACCTGGCACGCGCAAAGACGAGCCCGGACACTTTTACACTACGGATTGTCATTCGTTGTATTCGGTCTGTGTCACTAAACTCATACATCCTTATAAAAACTTACACCAGGTGATAAATTAAGATAGTATTAAATGGCGAAAGGATTGTGTGATATCCGTCAATGATATTCGGTAATTTTATTGAGGAATTTCATTATTGGGTAAGAGTTAAGAGGGAGAAGACAGGAAAGGTGTCGAATAGTGGTCGAGCTAAGACAAAAATGATGCACCTTCCCTTAGATCTGGCGGCAACTTTTTCCTCCCAACATTCACCAGAGCTCAAGGAGAGAGCCTGAGGGAAGTTGGCTAATAAATAAGTAGCACATGTAGGAAAGGAGTTGAAAAATAATAGCATGTAAAGCTGGAATGTAAAGACACTACGCAACCAGATGGAAGAACGGGGGAGAAGAGGAGGTGAAGGTAGAGAAAAGGGTCATATGAAGGTGGAGCAACTCTCTGTGGTGGCAGGCAGTGTCTTGGCCTCATGACGTGGCAGGTTGGAAGCAATGCCGTTCCAGACAGGCAGCCTCCCTTGCTCCGTGTAGAGGCTGCTGCAATTGGATATTTGAAGGGGCTGGAGGAAGAATGTACTGTCGTCGGTGATCGCTCCTAGAGCTGAGGTAGATACAAAAGGACTTCGAGTGCGTGTATGGGCAATGGGCTTGACAGAGAGTGCAGCCCTGGTGGTGTCCAGGGAGTCACCGTGGCCACTATCTTGATCATTTGAACCGGGTGCCTCAAATCCTCCCGCCACCTAAATATGACATGATAGCGAAGGAACGACGATGTGTGCATACTCTCTGAAACACGGACGATTGACTTAGATGTACAGCATTATCGTTCAATCTGCATTCTGTGCTTGAAATTAATTTAGCTATCCCACAATCATTTACTTCAACGCGTTTATAGGCCAAATAATTACCGCGTTGGTTGGATAATACACTTATTTACGGGTGGCCGCTTCATCATTATTAAAAAGGATTTGTTTAGCTAACGCAACTGGCCAAAATGCATTAATTCACCGAGTTTAAAATGGATAGTTGTTTTTCTCAATTAAAGGCAATCAAAAGATAAATCAAACTTAAAAATACAGAAATGGTGTTTCCTCTGCCCACAAGCCTACATATTTGGTCAAATTCTGAAGTTCTCATCAAAACGTTAAAGAGGATCCCAAAGAACTGAGTAACCAGTAATAATACTGTGCACCATTTTCTATAAGGCATTTTTAGGCTACTACAAAAACGCTAATCCGAGATTGCTTTCATAAAAATGAGGAAGAAATATTATGCTGAATGTTGGGAGGTCCTACAAGGGTTTTCCATACATACGCTGAACGCCTGTAAACGAGGTTAACGACATTTCAAAGCCTTATATTTCTGCGGAATAACTAAAGGGATCGTATTTTAAGCCCTTCTTGATGCAGCATTCAAAAAGTATTATCACTTTTCGTATAACAACAGGAATCCCGCCATATTTACCCACTAAGTGAATACTCTTTTTGTCTTGAATGAGAAATGTTTTTCCATACTGACTGTCTTCGATACCCATAGCATATGCTCGATTAGAAGGGAGAATGACTGGTTTGCTGAAAAAGGCACTAAAGTGCAAATGGCAAGTATGTTGTTCTCATGTGAAGAAGTAGTTCGCATTTTGCGTGAAATTCCGACATTTCCTAAATACTACCTCAGCTGCTGGTTAGTAGACTGATAGGTATCTCGTGGGCACAAGCTAACCCGATAATACCTGTTCTGCTCACTACTCAGCTCACAAAGGCTCTGATTGTAAGTATCAGGATTAGTAGGTCAGCTGAGGCTTTTGAAATGGATGAAGCAGCCTCTTTTGGTCACACTTGGATCTAACGCGTCTTGACAAGAATTGCTGCTAATGTTGCATGAGTGCAGGAAAGGCCCTGATTCGGTTCTAATGAACTTCTTTGAGTAAAAACACGCCTAATCGCCCTGCTTAGATTGCCTACTGTCTGATCGGAATTGTGTCCCAATACTTGGACACTCTTCCCTACCGTCTCCTCGATTCTGGTGCAGTGATTTCTTTCTACACTTTGGTGTGCTTTAAAACACACTGGGAGAAAACTCAAAACTTACTTTACAGGTAAATGGGCTGAAAAATAAGGTGTCTTTTAATTCAAACTCCATCTTGTTGGGAGGGCCCAGCCCTCTTGTTCCCTCGCCACCCGATCGCGACCAGTAAATTGCCGTCAGTTTCCCTTGCATTCTGCTTGTATGGTGACTTGGCTCCGTGAAGATTTGTGCTTTAGCTAGGATACAGCTTTTTTTACAAGACATCATGAAACGGTATTTTGATTCCCTCAGCAATTTAACAATTAGTAGTCGTTTCACTCTATTTTAACCAACTGCATGTGCTTTATTAAGGTACGCCTATATAATTTATGACATTTCTCGAAGTGGAATGAAAAAAAGCGTACATATCAAAGGACTCGGTTAAGTAACCCGTACCCTACATTAGGCACAGGTATTTTAGAATAAGTAGTGTCCAAGACTTTCTTTCAAATTTGATAGGTATATGGGCAGTAAGAGTGAGCAATATATGCAACTACTACGATCAGTGGGTCTAACTCTCTCTTATTTTCAGTGTGAATGCTACTTAGTATCACAAAGTCCATTTCATTGATTGTAATCCGTTTTGCAGTAGTAATTGCTTAGGGGAGGCATTTTGCTCATCATCGCATGATCAAAGACCACCCAGGGATGAAAACTAACGACAGGTTCTAAAAACTGCTTGTGATCAACGTGATAAATTTAAGTAAAACGTAGACAGTGAATAACAACGCTATTATGCACATTAATTGCATTGGGGATTTTCTACTACATTAAAGTCAAAAAGTTGAAAAAATGCATTTTCATCCCTGGGGTTGATGACCCGACTCCGCCTAGGCAGGCCTGCATATTTTTATGACCCTTTTACGATTACCTTTAGATGGCGCCACAAAATACCCTACCTTGGACACCATAAAATTGGTAAATCGGCAGTTTCACCGGCAGGCGAACCTCATCAACAAGTTCAGTCATATGTTGAAGTACATGGTCCTCCTCTCGCCCGCCCTAGAGGAGCTTTCCGCTCACCAGCCAATGTGACCAAAATGAAAAAAAGCCCTACAGCACATCCGATATCAGTGAAACGGCTAAGAAGCAGGTACGACACAATGTACCAAAGCCTTAGTGAACGAAATATATCCAACCCTGCAAAACCCATTCGATGGCTCGTTCTTACTCCCACCAATGTGTCTGACGCGTATCATCATCTGGAATCTTATTTGCGAAGTCGCCTTGACAAAATTAACACATTTCAACGAACAATAGATGCACTTCAGTGACTAATCACGAACGTCAGTAAAATCCTGATTAACTTCATAAGACTGAAAAACAAATCATACATTTTGAGCTAACCTAATCCACTTTTAATGAAGCGTTTATGCGATGGCATGATTTTATCGCGGTGTTACTTTGCCCGCCACGGATTTCGCATAAGTGAGTGATTTCCGATATAACTGAAAAGTTGCATTTATTTATTTTAAGCGCTTAATCGTATCTATAAGAGGTAATGCAAGCAAGTCTCCCTGGTCAAGTAAAACATTTTGGCGACTTTTGTGAGAGAAGTAATTAAACATAGGCAGTCAGGATATTCAACATCCGTGATCGTGTGGCTATCCATTGCGAAAATTGGATGAAACGATACTTTTGATAGGTCAAAGAATGCGCGGTAGTAACCAGGAGAGTAGCAGAGACATTTGCCTAATAGCCTCTTTCAGCTGATAGTCGAATGCATAAATCCTAGAATATTCATAATTTGGGACCACATCTTACTTTTTAAAAGGTTGAATTATTTATTTGACCTAGTCGATAGCTAAGACTCAAGTTCTATGACCTGGATTGTTTATGAATTCGGCTTGGTTGAACTAAAATCCCAAGTCAAGAGACATTTATCCATAAGTAGCACGGGTTCCTACGGCCATAAACAGTTTCTGTTTATGATATCAAGCCATTTAGTAAAAGAAAAACATAAAATTGGAAGTAGTTGTGGGGACTTTTAATCAGTTTAAGTGGCATGCATGTGCATACTTACTCTCAGAATCAAAGTCTAGTAATATAACGCATTTACGGTGAGAAGGACATGTACTACGAAACAGAAAAGTGTTTGCTACTCTCCTGAATTTCATTTTTACAGTTTATATAATATGTGACCATACTATATATTGTAATCAACGCAAATTAGGTGGGTATATTCATAGTTTCTCCAGAATTCACTTCTCTGCAACCAGATAAATAGACGTGTTTATCCTATTTCTGTGTTAAATAGAAAGAACTTTAGATTGGATTACCCTTGGGTAAAAGGACTGTGCAACCAGTTATATTTGATAAATTTTCAAATAAAGTAATGGGTCGAAAAAGGGTCAAAGTTGTGTGCAGCTGCATTTCGATAGCGTCAGAAATGGAAACAGAATCGAACTGAGCAAAAAGCACTTGTTCAAATCTAAAACCGTTGTGTTTTGTCGCTAATTTTAAATACTCCGCAGTTTTGATATGATCAACTGCAGTTTAATCTAGCTGTGGTTGCAAAGCAACATTGGCGTGAGCCTTCGACGAACTTGCAAACAGTTTCGCTGGAGCCAATAGATGTGCTATTGACAATAATCGTTTTTAGAATTGAACAATTCCTAGGGATTTTAACGCCGGAAATATAAGGAAAATTCCCACTGGAACAGAATACTAAGCTTGGAAACAGCAACTGTTCTAAATGATGGTCATTTGGTGCAGTAATTGAGATGCTTATCATAAATTATTCATAACATGTTGATTACGCCTTTAATAAGCTAGAAAGTGGCAGTGGTAACCAAGACGTTTGCTGACACCGGTTTTTTCTTGCCTCGGTATGGATGACCGGGAAGGAGTCCGTGCCTTTTCAACCTTCTGCAGCGGGCAGGGGCATACAAGCAGTGGGGGTCATGGCGTGGCGAGAAAGCCTGACGTTACAGGTTTGCAAGGTCAAGCGTTGGCCCGACGTTACCTGCGTAAGTTCCTTCAGTCTGCAAGATGTGCGTGCGTGCGCCAAATTCAACGCCTCCGTGTTTGCTTTTAACCTTCAGTTTCATTCAGCATCGCCCTTTATTCAATGCTGTTATTTAATGGCTCTGTTAGCCGTGGATGAGAAATGAAAATAGATTTTTTATCATCAAAAATCTCGGCGATTTTGTGCAATGGGTGCGTACAAAATGGGTATTGTAGCATTTCTTACTCCGATAAGTTCTAGCGATCTACATCAAAAAACCGGTACACAGAATTGGCTCACATTAATTTGATATCAAATAGTCACGATTCAGCGGTGCTGATGGATCCTGACGGCTGCCACGATATTCTGCTTCACGAATTCCTTCTTCTTGTCCAAATCTTCGACACTAAATATTACCTTGTAAACGCAGTCGTTTTGGAAAAAAGTGGGTGAAATCCCGTCGAAATGGGGTGTTCTCAGAACATCGTAAATTTCATGAGGTTCTAGAACTAGGGGTCCCCAAACTCCATTCCTATACGATGTGTGGATTTTCCTCCATTTTGGAACATCCTTTATGTATGATTAAGAAATTAGGTCATTAAAATATACTCTGCGAATCTGACTGTGCTTAGAGAAAATAATGTTAGGTATTGCTAGAAGTTATTGAACAAGTTGGAATGAGTACATACAAGCAGAAGCGGGATTTTTTAAGGGAGGACAAAATCTATAGAAATAAATCGGAGTTTAGAACCCTATTAAATAGTTTTTGAACATTTAGCCGCCATAAATGCTGTAGTTTTCTTTTTCAGATACACTATAGAAATCCTACTGCTATAAATGAGTCTTAGATACATCATGGCGGTGTGTTCGGCAATACTTGAAAGCGAGAGACACCAGCTTGTGGTCCAAGAAAACGCTGTTACTTTGCTACCAATGGACAAATTACGACTCAGGCTAACTTACGCTAATTTATTAACTTTTGCATAATTCTACTAGTTTTTAGCATGTGCCCCAAAAAAGCAGTATGTGCGCATTTCCTATTAAGTCTACTTTGTCAAAAAGTCCAAACTCCTACCCAATGCATTGCTACAATACCGACCAAGAAGTGGTCTTCATTTCATTGACCACGGCGTTTTACCGCGCAAAAATTCGCTATTTATCGCCTAAATAAAAGGACCCGCACAGTGCTAATTTTGGATTATGACCATGAAAGACCAGTAATTTGTAGGTTTATAATATTAAGAAGCAGAAAATGAGTTGCAGGCTTATTTTGACTTTCACATCGTATCATTTTTAGTAGGAACACACAAAAAACCAGTATTTATTTTCACGTTATCAGTCAATGTGAAAGAAGTTGTCGCGGTATCACAAGTCTTTGAAGAGCCACCCACTCTTTCAGAAATGGTTCACTCTCGGAGCCAAACCAGACCTCAACAACGATTGCCAAATCAGGACTTTTGTGGAGTTAACTACAGAAGTCTAGTTGAAAAATCCGAACAAAGACAATAACTTTACACTAGAATAATTGAAGTGCGATTGCAAATTTCATGGTTCTGGAAAATTTAGCAAGTGGCATGCCTAAAAGGTTATTGCAATGAGGAAAAGCTTTTACCGAGTCTAATTCTAACTCACAAGATGACAATACACACCCGGGATAATAGTAAAATAGTCATTTTGTTACTCAGCCAATTCCTGGCCGTGTAAAAAGTGGTGTAACTTCCTTTCCTTCTACAAAAAAAAAAAAACAATCACGTGAGTTACGTCTAAACACTAAGGCGTTTATTTATAAGCGCACTTTTGGCATCTTTGTCCCGTTTTCAGCTAAGATAAATTTTGGGAAATAAAGAGATGTCCTTCCTGAGCAGAAGAGTACTGACGATCTTTACCGGAACGTAACCATATCAAATCCATCCAAAAAAGACAAATTTGCTCTAATTTCGATTGCAAATCCTGATGGCAAAGATGTTTTTCACGTTGATAACATTTAAAACAATTATGTCTGTATGTCTGGCGCCCTCATTAGGACATGGATCATCGTCATGGTGATCATTGTCGTTCACACACCTACAGCATGTTACTTTTAGAACAGAAGAACTATAAAAATCACGAATTATAGGTTTCGTAGAAAGTACTAAGAAGAACACAAAACTAGTAACTTAATGCACCAATGCACCACTTAATAAGAAGGGTGATTTGAGATACGCACTTCATGCTTATCAAAGAGTTCCTCTTGACTCCCCACCCAGATGGCGTCTTCACAGGCTGGTGAAAGACCATGGGTTGGCCGCGCAACACGAGCGATAGGAGAACTGCTGAGACCGCCCCGCGAGGTAATGGTGCGGTCGGCAGCGACGGTGTTTGTGACGGAGGAAACGAGGAGGGGCAACTCACTCCCGTGCGCTTCACCGATAGCCTCAGTGGCAAGACGACCACTCAATGGTGCACCAAATTCGTCCGCAACGGCACTCATTATTGGATTAATAGTGGCGTAGACGACAGTGGCAGCAGAGGAGGAGGTGGGAGACCAGCGAGCCGTAGAGACAAGAGGGATTGCTCGGTATACCTTACCTTCTGAATGTACCAGCGCGTAGGATGCCGGCAATGGCCCAAGGTCAGGTAGAATATGGACGTTGTTTGGGTCTTGCAGGAGGTCATCAGTTGCGATAGGAGTGCTGTGTTTCTTAGCTGAAGTAAGTGATACGGGCAGGACAATTGCCGTTATAACAAAGCACCGATTCCCCAACAGTCTAACCGCAATTCGTGCATAAATCCATGCATATGCGGTCGTGGAAATCAAAATAAGGATTCCCTCTTCTGAATTTTACCTGTTGTAAATTTCAGTTCTTCCTCATTCTTTTGCCAGATCACACCTAAGGCACTATTAAAAAATTCTGTTTGAAACAATATTTCTTAGTCAAAATACATTTAATGCAGAACCACGGGCGATCCATAACCATTTGCCCCTTTAATAGCTTGCTATATTCTATCAATCGATTGTGAGTTAGTTATTAGTTATACCATCATCAGATAGCAGGATTAGAAATGCTAGCTTTTTGGACACTGTCTCGAACCGATATTGAGGATATTGACATTGAACACGTAAACATCGACAATTACGACTTTGGGGACTTAAAATTACAGGATCTGACGATTCCAAGTTAGACAAACCACTTGGGACATTTAATCATCCCTAAATAACATTTCTCTTTGCTTAAAAAGCTTTACTTCACGGTTATTTCGGAATAGGACCATTGAAATTTGGTAAAGAGTTTGAATAAAAAATTTGGCTCCATTCAATCAGGCAATCTCGATGCATTGGAAACTAGCCATCATGACTCGGACACATGATTTTCCTCTGTAGTAAAGAGCGCATGCAAAGCCTATGCGAATACGCAGCAAGACCTCACTTAAAATTCTTGGAAGATTTTCCATCACACGCCCAGAGAATAAACAGCGCAAGAGCAGAACGTGGCTACATGCAATTACTCTCGAGAGCAGATGAAAAAATAAGGAGAGTATTGGGCCATGGAGTGATAAAAAGGAGGTGATGAGAGTTTTCGGCTAAAGAAAATTGTTTTGCTAACCAACAAAGGGAAGGAAAGAGATACTAATTTACCCCTGCACTTGACGATTTTATTTGAGGATGCATTTTTCTATGGATTCAAGCACCTTTACTTAGGCCATAAGAATAAAAGGTTTGACTGCCTGTTATTTCAAAGAAACTAATTTTATGCTTTGAACAAGTTCAATGCGTGAAATATCCGACAATGAACCGGGTATGAAATGAGCCATAGTGTAAAACGGGTCGCAAACTCAAAGGGGAGATCAAGCACGTTCCCTTTTGGAGACAATTTTGGAGTTTCATACCTTCGTTGAAACCTTCAGGTTTATGGTTTCCGATTTTATAAAAGCCGAATCCTGCCTGCACGGACCTTCCGCAGAGGTAGCACCAGTAATGTCATCACTGATTGACTTTGAAAGCGCTGACCTTCACATGCCGATATTACACTTTGTCTATTCACGAAGGAACTCATTTTTATTGTTTTGGTTAATGCCATTGCAACATAGGCATGTATTAACACTTCTTGTTCCAAAGTGCGTCCATAAAGTGGAGGCAATAAAGTATTGAAAGATTGTCACTGCTTAATTAGCTTTCATTAAAGAATAAAACTAGTGGTACTTTGAAAGAGATTATCTGACCCCAAGCTGGATCAAATTTTTGCAAATGACATTAAAATGAATTCGTATCAAAACCAAGCTTGATAAAAGGATATTGAAGTGCTATGAACGAAACTGGCAAAACTTACAAAACTAATGACATAGTCTACCGGGAGGAACTACTACGATAAGCCTCTAAAGCTTACTTGAAAGTCCCAATTACCTAATCCACATTTAAGTAAAAAGTGTGACAATCGTCTGAGTTGAATCAAAATCGGAAGTATTGCAGTGAAACAAGGTATTTGAACTCACAATTTAGTTCTCTCCCCACTAAATCCAAGTGTGTTATTCAGAGCATAAAGTGTACAATGATGATGCGATAAATATTGTGACAGATGTCCGATGTGACATTAAAATGCGACTTGCTGTGGGATAGAAAGGTATTTAAAACTAGTATTGAGCAGGAATAAACTTCGGCTACCACTCACGCAATGCATGCAAACTGGCCGAGTTTTGACGAGATTTACTGAGGACAATGCAGACAGCGGTGAGAAGCACCGTTGCTATTATGAAGGCCGCAGCGACGATGAAGATAATAATGAAGAGGTTAATCATGGAGTCAGAGATGGATTTGCTGGGTTCTGACGGGTCTGAGGGCCTGACGGTACTTGTACCCTTCGGTATCGACTTGTCCACCAGTACAGTGAGCATCGCCTGTGTCTGAAGAGGCTCTGCGCCCATATCACTGGCAACTATGTATACGGTAAATTCATGCCCCACATCCGAGAGGGAGAGGGGCTTTTTCAAGGAAATTTGCCCGTTGGTACGATTAACTTGGAACAGTGTCTGCTCAGAGTAGTCAGGAAGGCTTAGAGCAGCTTGGGAATTTCCGAGATAGTACTGTACGGTTCCATTGATTCCAGCATCAGCATCAGTGGCTAACACCTGCAATTTTACATTACCTTTGTATAAGAAAACTACCCATAAAAAAAATAGAAACATATGAATCATGGTGAATTTCAGCAATGATGCGACTCGTTTGATGGAAAACAATTTCATGACTGCGTAGAAACCCGCAAAAAAGGGTCAAAAGTAATTAACAAAGGCACCTGAAGTATGGATATATCAATTACCAAGCCAAAATTGCATTTTTTATACATGTGGTCCTGCAGAATTCAGTCAGCTACTCCGTTGTCAGCTTTGGCTTTATGCTTGTCTCCATCTGATGACCGTCGCCCTGTCATACTCACAAGGAATAGCAGGACACGCCCGGTAGGTCATAAACGATGACTAGACGGAAACGGGAGCGACTTATTCTCGTTAATACCGAAAACTTTCAAAAAGCAACTATTGAACATTAATAAAGCTGGCAACAGTCATTGGCATGAGAACACTCTACTAATTTATTTATTCAGTTGATGTGGAGGCCAGTGAAAAGTGAATACGTCTCTGGAATGCTTAGGATGAACGCGGGGCTTGGATTTTTAAATAAATCATTTACTCCTAGGAACTCGTCACCTCGACTGTCCAGTACCTGACAGTAGCAAATGAACTATCCTCCATATGTTAACCTTCACATTTTCCTAAGTGGGTTCTCCATATGAACATTCACACTGAAATTCAGATGCCTAAGAAGTAGAAATTTAGAGGTCAAGGGTCGTAACCCCGATTATATTTATCGCATTCAGAAACGTAGAAAAGCTTGAGTCAGACGAGAATCTTGGTAGCTAAAAAGCTTACTTCGGCTCTATTAAACGTAACAGTGCTAGAACAAATATCCGCCTACTTGAAAAGAACTTAACGCTATTAAACGAATTGGTTAAAATGGAAGTTGACCTAACCAGATATGTCGCAGCCTCAATTTGTCATGACGATCGCAAATCCACTTTTAACTTGCCCTCAACCGAATCGCGCACAGGTCGACTGAGATTCGCATTTCTACTACACAGCCTTTCCAGCCAGGTTTTTGAACTACCGCTCTTTATCGAGGTCTTTGTAGATGATCTCAAACATCCTCACTAGTGGATTTGATTGAGGCATTTGGTTTGAGCAGAGAAATTTTGCAAACGAATATAAGCAGTGGTGCACAGCATGCACTCTCACCCTCCAAACGTGCAGCTTTAAGCGTCATCATGGTCAATTGGCAAGCAAAGGTGCCGATAGACTCGTGTTGGTTAAGAGTCGGCAGGCCTGAACTCCCAACTGTTATTATGGACTTTCGCAAGAAAAACACTTTAATGCTTCAAATTAGCAATGCGTGTTTATGTATGAACAGGATCTTGGCATGAGACGTGTGTGGGTGCTATACAAGTCTCGCTGTTGACAAAACGTTTCCAGTAATGCGGGAACGCATGGGCTCCCTCTCCTCCTCCCTCCCGTTCTCGCCCTCTTTCCACCTCCCTTTTCTCCGCCCCACTAACTGTAACGTGTCCGCCACACGCACATCCTGAGCCACTAAAAAGCAGCCCTGCAGCCGACTCCCTTGTAGCATAAAATCCGTTAGCCTTATGCATAAAACAATAAAAACAATTTTATTTACCATTCCTTATTCTATTCAACTATGGAAGGGCACTACCGGTGAGTGGATATCATTGTCATTGTGTTTATGTAGTTCCACTTAACCTAGGAATCCTCATGAAAATTCACCAAGCAGAAAGAGTAATTGCGAATAATGGGTGAGGAATTTATGACTTTTGGATTAATGCGATGCATTTCTTAGTCAAATTTACTCAATTAGTACGAGCTACTGTCAAATAAAATGGAAGAACATGTGATCTATGCTGAGAAATTTGCATTAAATCGCATTTGAGCATCTGACTGAGTAAATTTCCTGAAGTTTTGTAATACAGGCAGCACCTATCAGTTCTATCCACATACAAAGCCGTGTAACGTTTCATTGTGATTTATTAGCAAGAAAATTTTAATTTGTCGTCAAATGCAAGCGTCCGGCGACACTTCAGGCAATACCTTCAACACCGCACACTCACCGAGTCATATATATGGCACACTGCCGAAAGCCGATCCTGTTGATGGTCACACATATGGATGAGCAAATGGTTATGATAGCTGGAAATACACACTCTTAGAATTCTTATTTATTATGTTGTAGTGAAGACGAGCATATATGCAGAGAGCAGAGTACAGAAAGTGCAGCTGCTCCACCCTTTCCTACAACTTTCCACTTGAGCACCGCCTTTCTACATTGCATAATTAACGCCTGATTGACCAAATGTTCTCACGATACCCGCGAGTGACTTTTCTACGCACAATTAACTGAAATCGGAAAGCTGTAGTGAACGGAGACAGCAACCGAAAATTGTTACTGACTATTTTTCGTCTTCGTCTGGTTGCCCTCAAGGCAAGCGTATTATCTCCGAAGCCGCCCAACACTTTACAGCAGGAACTTAAATTACAGTTATGTTGAGGAGATAGGACACATTATATGACAAGTGCAGGGTTGACGGAAACTCGCAACCTGGTCGGAACACTTTAAATTGCATTATGCAAAATAATCGCATACTCGAAAATGAATTACGGGGACCTGCAGGATCTACTTCAAAACTGACGTCCATGAGATAAATTGGGCGAATTAAGTAAGATGACAATTCGTTGACAGCTGGATGTCAGGCATTACATTGCGCAGACCTCGGCGTACTCCAGTCGGGCTACCATTTGAGACGAGGAATGCGCCTCATTCATGAGTTTGCAGCGTCTAGGGCACAAATCAGACCTATGCTATAACAAAAGCGTGGTACTTTATCAACCCGATAAAATATGGAGCCATTCGAATGCTACACCACCAATACCGGCTATCACACCTCCTATCACCAGGTGAAAATGACACTGAGCTGGCTAAAACTATCGGTCAAAACGAAGTAAGCACTTGTATCTACCAATCATTCAACAGCTACGACTTTCAGGAAATGAATACGTTAGAAGTGCGAATTCAATTATAGCCAAGCCGCAACCTATTTATCTGTTGGCAGATCATTTCAGTTCATAGCCACTTGAATGATTAAGAACTTAATGATTGAGGAATGCAGTAGCTTCGTGGAAATTGAATATTTTGAATATTAGTATGCCTTATGGCTCATTGGAAAAAAGGTAATAGTTACTTAATGTGCTTTACCTGAGTGAAAGGATATCCCACGTATTCATTGCATGATACATTAACGGTTGCATTTTTCTCTGAGGGGAAATTGAAAACAGGTGCATTATCGTTTATATCAAGTAGGCGAACAATAATACGAGCTCTCGATATTCTTTTCGGAGTTCCGCCATCCTCTGCCACAATGTAAAAAGAATGGAAAGAGGTTGCTTGGGACCCGTTGTCGGCGTACTCCATATGATGCGTCCCCGCTTCTGCATGCAACTCACCATCGGTGAAAATGCTGACCTCGTATCCATTTTTTATTTGATTGAATCGGGACTCCAAGCGATAAGGCAATGATGCTGTCTGTTCGTTTCTCCAGGTATAGTGTTGCAAGCTTTCACTTGAGGTAACTGGATAATGCGCAGGCAAGTCATTTGTCAGGATTCTGAAGCTTAATTCCCGATTGACTCCCAAGTCTGCGTCAGTAATGTTAACTATCCCTATGAGCGTATTCCTCTTTACTCCTTCAGTAGCCGAAAATTCAAAATCTGGCAGGGCGAAAACGGGTGGCTCGTCATTGAAGTCTAGCACATGAATGGTTACAATAATCGACGACGATAGCTGCGGTGTTCCGGAATCTTTGGCGACGATTAGAAACTGATGCTGATCATTCGTTTCACGATCCAACTCTCCATTTGAGCTGAAAACACCTGTCTTTGGATCGACTGTAAATAAATTTGGAACGTTTGATTGAATCAAATCATAAGCGATCTCAGCGTTGGCGCCTTCGTCCAGGTCATGTGCCAGAACGCGACCTATTACGTAGTTGTTACTTTGTCTAGACGGGTCGCTGTCTTCAGTAACGTTTAGTTCAAGGTAGTCCTGATCGAAGACTGGGGAATTGTCGTTGATATCTCGGATTTGTACTACGAGATTTTTTGAAGAATTTCTTGGGGGCACCCCAAAATCTCGGCAAAATATTGCAAGAGCCATTGTAACTTGTTCTTCCCTGTCGAAATTGTGAATTGCCGACAGCTTAAACAAAGCTTCCCTGCCATCTTCTGTCATACCATCACCAGACGTCATTTTGACAAGACGAAAGAAATCAGTGACGTTATCAGCAAGAGCGCACTCCACCTTTCCATTATCTCCAGAATCTCCGTCCGTCACACTTACTACACCAAAATCGGATGGTAAGAGGGCAGTGTTCTCCTCAATTGATAATTCACTCTGACCATCAGGAGCGTAAAAGGATATGGCAGGAGCCTCGTCATTAACATCAATAACGTCAATAATAATCTGGGATACATCGTGCATTGTTGTCTCCACTTGAATATCCCTCGAAATTTTCAATTGAGGCTTCCCATCATTGGATCTTGTAATAATTTCAGCATCAGTTGGGTTTCGAACCACCACAGAAAACTCGAACTTTCGTTTTTTTCTGTATGATAAGCGTTGTTTTAAAAGCACTGAGCCATTGAATGGATGGACATCAAAATAAGAGGTCACATCATCTGGGGTGTAAGTCTCAAGAGAGAAAATGAGTTTGCTGAATACTAGGCCCTTGTCCTGGTCAATAGCCTGGAGCTGGTGCACCAAGGAGCCCACAGGAGTGTTTTCATTTAGGCTCAAATGGACGCGTTTCTTCGCGAACCTCGGAGGATGATCGTTTACGTCAACGACCTGGACCGTCAGCTGGAGGCTGCAGGTAGATGCGCTCCGTCTACTGGCATCACTAGCCGTGACCACCAACTTATGGATCGAGAGAGTCTCGTAATCCAATTTCCTTGTAAGCAACAGATGCAAGGTAGCTGGTTTGTCCGTAGAACTCGTTTCGGTGACGTGAAGATTGAAGTAGCGGGCACTGTCAATGTCATCAGCAGACTTGAGTGCAATACTTCTGGGATCAATGCGATTCATTATCGAAGCATCTGGATCAGAAGGAATGTACAAAGGAATTCGATAATTGGAATCCACGGAAGTGTCTTCTGGAATGTACACTGTCTGCTTATCCGAAGGTTCAAATTTACAGTTGTTATCATTCACATCGAGAACATTGACAGTGACTTGAACCATTTCCATGATCTCTGAGGTCCCCTGGCGGAGGATACTGACGGTAAACCGAAGTTGACATTGACCTTCAGCACTTGATAAGGAGTGAGGTGCACCGTGTGTATTCGTAGAATGACAAAGCGATTCTCGATCTATCACTTGGGCCAACGTGATGCGTCCGTCCTGAGGAGTGATTCGAAAGTACTTTGAGTCTCCCTTCTGAATGATCTGGAAGTTCATTCGATCTTTGTAGCTCCTCAAGCGGCTTGACAACTTTGGAAGGAGTATTCCAACAAGACTACCGGGCTTTTCCTCCTCTTCTACACTGAATAAAATCCTTTCAACTGCAGTGACACAGAATGCAGACACCAAAAAAAGAAAATAAGAGCTCTTCATGCTGCAGAATCGCATTTCTTGGTTATGAGTTATTTCTCTTGAAGTTTGGCATTGCCAGATTCAATTCTTAGAAGCTGTAAGATACGATGTGAAGGAAGACGTGTATGGTAGTTAAGAGACAGCGAAATAGTATTCTTGCCCTTTTTCAGCCGTAAATATATCACAAAGACTCCAATTAAAGATCGTTATGTTCATTTCAACCTTGCAATTTATGCAAGTTATACAATCGTTCTGGTATGAAACGGAGTGATGAATAAGAAAGATTCTGACTTTCCATGGTTCGTGAACACCAATCATTTAGTACATACTCCATTAACAAACGGGTGAAATTATTTTTAATGGATTATTGTCTAGACGTGATTATAACACATAACAAATGTACTATGGACGAATATTTGATGAAACCTCTACTTGGTTCATCGTAAAATTTTTAGATAAACAAATACAATAGCACTTCTAACATAGATCAAGTCATAAGTTGTTCATGATCACTGCAAAATTTGAAGGGACACGGATCTGCATCATGGGAAGATTTCGTCTAGCGACTAATATGCTAGTATGAATTGTTTGTTAAAGGAGACGCTTAAGTTTATCGGACAAAGGTGGGCAATGCTTTAGATTTTTCGGAAAGAGTTGCGAGCATCTATGGGATGCGCACATAAAAAACAACACATTTGGAATTAGTTGTACATACGGTCAATAAAGCAAACGGCACGATTTGACATTTTCACCACGTTCGAGTGTAAACAGCTCAGTGTAATGCCGTAACTGGTCAATGCAGCTTGAGCCACCTTTGGCCCTACAGCCTCAGAAAATGACACCCCAGCCAAATCACCAAACTGCGGTGGAAAATGCAAACATGTCTGAAGTATCTCAAAGCGTAGTTCATGAGAAATACAGCATTTTTCAGTGACACACGCAAACAAGACTTATGCAGAGAAAAAATGCCCAAATGACAATACATTTAAAACTAAGTATGCACTTGAATACCCAGCGGTCTTGTAATTCCTTCAAGTAACTCAGACACATATTCATGAAGAATTCTGTATAATTCTGCATGAAGGAAATGTTTTGTGTTTTCTAACTTTAGCAGCGGTAGTCTAGCACCTTCAATTCATTAAACTTAAAGTACTACCATGTGATTCCGATGTGTTTAAAGTACAAAAGAAAGAAAGCAGTAAAGTTGTCATTTAAACACTACCAAGACTTGAACAGAAAAAAACCAGCATGCAAGGTTGCGATGAGGAATCATGTTACAAATGAAGAGAAAATGTGTACTTCCATGTCTTCAGCTGCCTCATTTTAAAAATCGCTTGAACATTTGAGCATTTCTTAATTAAAATTCCGAAACTGTCTGATAAATTTATGACGACCTAGAAAGAAAATAGTTGCCAGACACTTTAAGCAAAAGTTTTCTTAAAGTAATGGCTGGATTTTTCACGGTGTAAATAAATTAAAAATGCAGATGTTCAAATTATGGCCTTCGGTTGCGGCATTATCGTTTTCGATGTGAGAGGAGGAGTAATTTAGGCATTCTAGCAAGTTATTCATCATGTATCTTTTGAATCGGAAAGCCCACAGTATTTTTTACTATGCTACATAAGAGAAACGGAGTGTTAATTGTACAATAGCCGCTGTGAGGTGGTTCACCAGCACTCTACATGTACAGCAAATATGAGTTACTTTAATTGGACCTGTTTTTCAAACCAATTTCGATAACCTAGTTGTTGAGTAAGCCACAGTTGGTGAACAACCACTGAACACGACGTCATCGTTAATCACCTCGGTAGTAATGTCAAGTTAGCCTAAAATGTATTCTTATTCGAAAAGTTATTCATCTTTATCAGCACAAAGAAAATATGGGGTCGGAGCATTCTCCTTTACCGAAAGGGACAATGACTTTTGTTAGCCTCAGTGACGCTCACTTAATTCATTTTCAGAGGTGGAGCACGCAAGTTGTAGTATCAAGTGAGGAAACTGAGGACTCATTGTGTGGTCTACTCGAACCGACCGATGTCAATGAGGGAAAAGTGATTCATTTTCACCAAGCTTCATCCATCTGAACACAATATATTTTTGTGAGTGTCAGAGTTCTTCGCTTGCGTAAGTGAGCCGGAAACGGACTGCCAATGGCTTTGCAAAGTCGCGCAGCACAAACACAGCCAAAGAAACCAAGACCATGATTGCTGCAGACATCAACAGTACTGTTTCTCCATTGTGAACTCAGAGTGCTGCATTTAATCGCATTAGAGATGGTAGATTTTAATGTAAAGCTACTCCATTTCGGAAGTATTCATTTCCTCGTTAAATGGAGTCAGTAGATTTACAGTTACGAGTGTGCCATTCAGAGGTGTTTATTTAATTTTGAGTGAAGAACTATCTCCAGATTTGGGGAAAAACATATCCCCTATTCCGTCAGCGTATCAAAAGGGATTCATAATAAAAGGCACATGAACTCGGAGCAAGCGATCGTGTGCTGTCATTAGAAACGAAAATAAAAGAACCTATATTCATGCCAGAGAATCTTACCCTAAGATGGAAACGTAAAACATCTCACGACGAGATATTAACAGGTTGCAGGGGCTCGTGCAATGGCTCTAAGGAATCAATGCTCCCAGCCTTCTCGCTGTAAGATAAGCATCATTAGTGCTACAAGCAAGTGGTCAGGACGCAAAATTTTGCCGTTCGGCTATCAAAAATATGTCAACTTATCCTTCAATGCTCATAAAAAATTACCTCTAGTTTTATCCAATCCCTGAGGCCTTAAGACTTATTCTCTAGAGGGTAGTTGGGTTCACAATGCTCGGTGTGAGACTGAATCCAAAGGAATAATAGGTTCGGATTAGCCATTTAAAAATCAGTCAAACTGTAATACAATCCCATGAAGGAGCGAGATGATGCCATTGTGATTGCTAATTACTTCCCTCGAATTTTACTAAGATCGATCCGATGAAATGGAAGAGGGCGAAGATATTTAATTCTACGCTAGAGGTAGTTTTGCCCTCAGGAGTCTCGAAAGGAGATGGGGGGTTAGTGGATGAGCTGTAGACTTAAAAAAGCAACAAACTGAACGATTCGCCTAAGAACTTCAAAGAAACCGTCACCTTTTCCGAAGTTAGTTTTTAACGATTACCTTAGCATGCAAGTCCATTGAATCATGATGAGGAGCAATGTTGCAAAGACCGTGTAGTTATTTCAGAGGATTTTCCAGTTAATTAGGTTGGTGTGGAGTTCAAGTCTATCAATGTACTTTTCATTTACAATGCGTTTACTGTGCTCCCCTAGAGCTCACTTTTCTGTCGGGCGAAAAGTAAACAGGTAGAGAAATCCTGCTACATCTTTCTCAGAGTGGTAGTTACAATAGGTCCCACCCATACCCATAATGTTATGCTTACTCGTGGATGCGACTGCTTTTCGACAGGGTTGAAACGTTATGCTATAGGAAGCAGGTGTTTGTTGAAAGCATACATACACATTGTGGCGCCAAACGGATGAAATAGGTGAAATAATGCTTTAAAAATTGACGATTTATTTTTTGACAAGATTAATTGTAAACGGGCTTGATAACTGCTAAACTAAAGGCATCTGCTTTCAATGATTGGTTTGACAAGCTGTCGAGAATCGCCACCGTTCTATGCAAACTCAAAAGTGAGTCAGAATGTCTGATTTTACTACAGCAAAATGTCTTTAATGTGACAAGAAGAAAACATACTATTATTAATTGAAAACTAATAACACGCGTGATTAATCTTAACTAGACAGCTTAACTAGAACTGATGTCCGGGGGGAGAAAGGAAAGAAATACAAATACATTGTTCACGTAGTCGGTAAAAGTACAAAATAAAGGAAGCTTGAATGAAGAAACACCCCAACTTTCTTTCGAGACTTCTTTGTGTGAATTGTAGTGAGGTTAAGCATGTAGTAATTCCTTATAGCGCAATAAAATTAGTCAGAAAATTATAATACCATTCTGCAGATTTCCTCACAAATAAGTCCTGATCAGGATGATGCATGTCATAGATATAGACGCAAACAGTGTCTCGTTATGCCGATTTTTCAACTCTGTCATCCCAAACGCTAACAACACATCCTAAACTGGAGCATGATGGAGGGTTGTTGCAAAGTGTTTGTCAAATCCGTAGTCCGAAAACCTCTTTCACACTTTAGGGCAGTCAAATTTGAGCAGACATACCAAGTAAACCGCGCTGTTGATCAGCATGTCAGCTAATTAAAAATGTGCATTAGAGCCATGGACAAATTATTTGAGTTAAAATTCACCAGTCACTTTGTGTCACAATCTTAGAGGGTGAGGAATAAAACTATCAGATTGCAAAAAAGACTGTGACTCGTGGCCACTTCATGTACAGCTGATCCTACCCTTTAGCATTAGCGCTTATTACAATGAAACCCAATTACATTAGTTTTCAACCGACACTTCCATTCATTCCCAACTTGTGGGTTCGGCGCCATGAATGAAGACGGAACTTCCCGAAGCTATGCATGTAAGGAGGCACGTATGCACATCGTATCAGCGTTGATTGCTTCGTAAAAAGCAATATTTTGTAAATATAGGCACCTGTTAATCATGGTAGCGCCACATACAGGCGGCAAAAGTGTTGCTACGGCACACAGATGTCTCTTACACTACACTTTTCCAAAGTCGCATGAAATTATATAAAACCCGTTAAAAATTCTGAAATACAATGTTCACATAAAGGGTTGGGTGAACGAATACATTTCGATTTGGAAGCCTCTTTTACTTTTAGATTCGATTGTGATTACCTGGTATCCAGTGCAGAAGCTCCTTGTCATGAAAGAGAAAATACGTATATCCTGTTATTCGCATAGGTTCACGGTTCGCAAAAAATTGTAAACTTAATTAGTGGCTTTAAACACTCAAAAGGGATCGCAAGACAAGTTCACCTGGATGAAGCGGTTTGAAAACAGGGCCAGCTTGAAACTGCAAAACTGAGCACATCGTTTTTTATTTGAGAACGAGGAATACTCTGACTTAG